ATGCAACTCTATTTAGAAGACATGGTACGCTCATACGACGACATCATGATCTTCTACGGTGAAGATCCCAGCGATGACAACTCGCGCCGAGACTTCTTCCATAAACTCGCCACCTTCGTTACAGAATGGAAGAAGTCCCGCGAAAAGAACCTGGGTCTCGAAGAGAACCGTAAGCGCAACGAAGCGTCCATGAAACGGAAACATGCACAGCTTAAAATCAATGGAGGCGGAATTGGAGACAGCGGTCCAGCCTCGCCATCTTCAACAGGCGCAATGGACTCTCTCCTCGAGAAGTTACGTGCAGCTGCTCCGCAAGCCAGAGATCAAAGGGATAGGAGGAGGAGAGCACGCTTACAGAACCGCCACCAAGTACGCGTAGCGTCCGGACAGAAAATTCCAGACCCAGACGAAATACCCGAAATAGAAGAATCTCTCAAAAGCCCCGAATCTATCAGCGAAGGTCTCGCAAGTCCCGACCTCGTGCTTCCCCCCACATCCGAAGACGACATCGCGGAACGCGCTGCCATGCTGTTACAAGGCATGCGCGGTACTGACGGGACCGAAGATCCAGAGGGCGCGGATCGTAGGGATAGTGTGAGGCGAGCACGCCGGAGGGATGGTGCGGATGAAGAGAGGAAGGCGAGGAGACGGAGGAGAGAGAAGGCGCAGAGTACCAGTACAGATCCGACGGAAGTCGACTCTGCCATACCGGAGGAAGGAGCAGAGGAGCTACCCACGCCGACGACGGTCATTAGTCCGCCTAGTCCTGAAGGCACGGAGAAGAAACCCATCGAGCTTGATGATTAGGGTTAAGGAATAAGGGGATCTTTTTGATAATGTCTATTGCTGAAATGTGAAGCGGGGAGTTCTTACTTCTTACATCTTCACTCTTCTTCTTGTATCTTCTTGTGGGTTTGTGGGCCTAGGACTAGGGTGGCGAGGGGGCTGTATTATAGGTTGATGATCGTTGGATGGAAGGGGGGTGGTAAAATGGAAGCGTGTGACGAAGAAGAAAATGGGAGTGCGATGAAGACAGAGAGAATGCCGTTGTATGGTGTTGTCGTTGTTGGGGGGGGTTTTTTTTGACCTTGCATGCATAGCGGGTGTTGAAATGTGCATAGGGGGGTGAAATGGGGGTACGAACGTTGACGTACGTACGTACAGTATACCAAGAAGGCGGCTGAGCCTTGAATGATAATTGTGAATTAATTAATTCTTTGCATGTTTTTCTTTCTATGTGCTTGTGATTGTAATTGATTGATATGTTTTGTGAAAAAGAGAAGGCTTTTGATAGGGATTTTTGATGAAGAGGAAGACGGGATTTGCTCTTTGGGGTTCTGGTTTTATTTTTGTTTTTACTGTACTTGCGCTGCGCTGCGTTGCTTTGTTCTACTGAGACTTGTGGTTAGATAGAATTAGTTATTTGCGAGTGCCGTTGCGTTTATATTCGTGGCTTTGGGATAGATAGATGTTCATGGTGTCTGAGCCATGCTTGTTTAGGACAAACTCCTATATGTTGACAAGCTTTGAAGAGATCAGGGTCCAGAAGCGTCATACACCAGTCATCGAACTCGCAGATTCGGAGGGAGAAGAAGCCCCTTCCAAGAGAATCAAGATCGAAAAGGATGTAGACATGGTCCAGAACGAGACTGTGGTGATTGATGGTTTAGAGGAGCCTCCCGGCCGGCAAGGATACGCGCATGAACTTATCACACGGAGTCAAGATAGATGAGCACGAAGAGATGGATGTGCAGGAGATCATGGATAGTCAGCAACCCGAGGAGCCTGCGATGACAGAGGAAGAGATAATTGCAAAAGCAGAGCGAGCTGCTGAGATGGACCGAGAGGGGGAAGGATTTGAGAAGGAGAAACAGAGAATTGCGGACGAGATGGCTGAGTTGCGCCGGCAAGCTGCAGAGGATATGGACTATCATTGATGTACAAGTCTTGCTGATTAGAAGCTGTTGTCATGACGGTGCGGTATTGTGCCATTATAAGAAAGCTGTTCTAGGCTATGCTTTACATGCTGTGGCCGTCTACCTTGTCAACGAATAGCTGCATGGAAGCATTGGAGTCTGTTAGGAGACATCGTTGGTGGGGAGATACGCACTGCTAGTTTGTTTGTAGTACCATAATCAACGTAAAAGTCCTGTGGCCCTAGCGTGCGAGGGTCTAATTCAATTTTAGGATTCACTGTTTACCTGGCTACAAGGAACCTCGCCAACCTCAACTCTTTCTCTTTCTTGCATCTCGCTTTCTTCGACACCATTCTTCCATAACCACCGCGCTGACACTCAAGCTCGAGACTTGAGCTCTCTCTTCCTAAGGCTTTGCTTCATTTGCGTAGACGACCCCGGAACAGCAAATCTGAAGTCAATACACACTCTCATCGAAGATCTTAGTTTTCCCTCGAGCCCCGCAAGTGAATCGGAATAGAGGACGCCAACGAGACAATCTGGTCAACACCATCGACAACTTCCAAACAAGCCGTGGAGAGCGGAAACTTCTCGTTTCTTAGAAAAGGCTGAGATAGTCACAGTAGCAAGAGAGTTTTTCGATTGCTTTCATCATGGCGATTCTTTACCAAAGGCGAAATGAGATCGAGGTGAAGATCAAGAGACATCCCGAGGAGACCTATTTTGAGGAGTATGTCAAAGTTGGAGATCGAGAGAAGCCCGGTGCTAAAAAGTGTGAGCGATATATCATTCCAGAGCCTGGAGTCACCTATTCCATTGAAGTTACCCTCAAGAAGGGCTATGACTTTGGGAAGTGCCAAGTAGTGTGTGCGGATATGCATCTTCCAGGTATCGGATGTGCCATCGCGGGTGCAACGGCTAAGAGGCCAAAAAACCTCAAAGAAGGTATTGAAGAGGACATGACCATAAAAATTGAATACACAGACACAGAAGTTTTCGGTGAAGGCTTTTATGGGGCGAAATTTGAGTTCAAGGAATTAAATACCGGTAATGTGTATACTCAATCTGCGTATGTTCTCTGCTGACTAGATGTTACTAAGCTGAAGAGACCGATGAAAGCCGTGATCAAAGTCATGATTCTCACAGCAAGCTGGGAAGTTTTGAAGTCCGAATTAAGAGAATAAAGAACGAACGTCCTATGACTTCTGGTGAAATAGAAAGCACCCAAGGGACAGCTCAGGAACTATTAGACTTGAAATTGAGGTTCGAAGCTGTAGATGTGAGTGAGAAGACCAAAGGAAAGAACGGCCTCTCCGCTGCTATTGGGTAATGAAAGGCCTAAATTCTATTTAAACAAGATGTGGACTAATCGACGCAGACTTTTAGGCGGAAACTTTGAGCCAGCACGAAACCAAATTTACACGATGGAATTTTTTGACGGCCCAGAACTCGTATTTGAATTTCACTCCCGTAGGATAGGTACCGGTTCCAATCAGCCCTCCGCGTCCTCGTACAGCATATGCTAATGATATAATAGAATACATCCAAAGTGCCAACATCGTGCCATATCCACCTCCTCTCCAGAGTCTCCACTATTATGCATGGGATCTTCTCAATCTGATAGAGCGCAAGCATTCTCTCAGGTCGCTTCAGAATATCAACAAAGAGCAAGTTCATGAGCAATCTGAGGAGACAACCGGTCAGATCCTTCCAAAACCGGGTAAAATCTGGAAGATTGGCGAACCGATGGAATGGCGCCCTTGGAGGCTTTTGCATACGGAGGAAAGAAAGGAGATATTTGAAAAACTGCAGGTATTTAACCAAGCCCCGCGACTTGAATGTTTTCTGAACGGTTAATTAGAAAGCGTGGAAAGACTTCGAGCGAGGGAAAGTTCAGCACCAAATTTCGGAGCTGTCAGCAGAGGAAATTCTTGAACTGGAAGGTGGAGATGCGGAATCCAAAGGCGCAAACCCTCCGAAAGATGTTGGGAGAGTAATCACAAGTGCGGCATTAGAGGCCCCAGACACTGCACCGCCTGAAAATATCAGAAACTCTATGTCTGCAAACGGCAACGCTGTTGCGGGCCCCTCAAGCGCTTCAAGTTCACCTGCAGCTGCACATCCATCACCCGGAGGCGAGTCGGCCGATGATGGTCCACACTCAAGCAACCAACCCGAAGCGTCTTTACAGATCATGGAAGAACTGGAGGTCGTAAGAGAGGGCAGTCGCTCTCAGCGTGCCACTCCTCAGTGGGCCCCGTCCGCAATAATCAAGAGAGAACACGGAGAAGTCATTGATCTTGATGGCATCGATGGGCCCCCAGCAAAGCGTATCAAGACAGAAGCATCGATGAACGACGATGCTGAGCTCGAGAAACTTGAGGAGGAAGAGAAGAAGCTTGCGGAGGAGATCGATAGGGAAGAGAGGCTGATGAAGATGAAGCGCAAGCGAGAGGCTTTGCAAGTTAAGATTGAAGCTGCGAGGGCCCGAAGAGCGGGGAGCTAAAGTCTTTGACTTGCAATGAGCAAAGTTTATGAAATGATTGCACGGACTATCATTGGAGTCTGGAATTCAGACCTTGGCGGAGCATTTTCATTAGAGCGAACAGCTCCTGAATGTCTACAGTATGTAACTGCATTGAGACATCATTGTCTGCTTTTCCTGGGGGCTTTGATGGATGGATGGGGCACCTGGGGCTTGTTCAAAGACATCATTGATCTCTTATGCCCTCCAACGATCATAGGAAAACAATCACATTACAGAGGTATAGACAGTTAATCAACAAATATAGAGGGAAAGTCCCATTAAAAAGTTTCATAGGAGAAACTCGGGGGTAACACGTGCCGCAGATCACGAAGCGGGGAGGGCACTGGGGTGAGAATATCCGGTGCATTTAGGCGCGAGTTTCGGCATCTTCACCTCCTCCTTACCAAAACCCCGCGATAGATCTACCACAGCATGCTCATAGTTTAATGCTGCATCTATTTGCTGTCAATTCACTGTTTCAAACATCGTATATAGTACGATGGCAAGTGCCATCTCCTTCCATGTTTAGCACCTCTAATAACTCGTGACCCCTCAAAATGGCAGAGAGCGCGAAGCAGTTGGTTCTGGGCTACACTGATGTACATCCCTTCTCGAAAGTCAATATAACGGATAGGGCAAGTGTTCAGGAACTCCTAAAGACGATCTTGGATCCACTGAAGCCTCATTTCTCGCCTCTGAAATCACGGATTCGCGTTCCTGGCAACACAGCAGTCAGATTTGACAACACGGCTGCAGAAATTGAAGGGATATGTCGTCCCATGTGGGGTCTGGCGGGGTTACTTGGAGGCGGAGGAGAGTATGAGGGAACTTCGTGGTTCATTGAGGGACTCAAAGCTGGGACAGACCCCCAAAGCCCCGAATTCTGGGGATGGCCACGAGACAACGATCAACGAATGGTAGAAATGTGCCCCCTGGGTTTCACGCTCGCGGTTGTCCCAGTATTCTGGGAATCGTTGTCCGAAAAGGAAAGAGCGAATGTCGAGGCGTGGTTGGGAAACTCAATCAACCAGAAAAACATGCCTAATACAAATTGGCTCTGGTTTCGGGTCTTCGGAAACCTTGGGCTGAAAAAAAGTGGTGGAAAGTATTCACAAGAAAAGATTGAACAGGACATCATACATCTCAACTCATTCTTCCGAGGAGATGGCTGGTCCAATGATGGGCCTGAAGGAATCTGGCAGCAAGATTACTATAGCGGAAGTTTTGCCATCCAATTTTTGCAGCTACTCTACGCCAAACTCGCCGGAAACGACGATCACGCGAAAGCTGCAGAATTCAAAAAAAGGGCTCAGGACTATGCTCTTGATTTCATTCATTACTTCGACGAGGAAGGTAGAGCTACTCCATTCGGACGTAGCGTTGGTTACCGTTTCGCAATGGCGGGGTTCTGGGGCGCTCTTGCCTATGCAGATGTGGAATTACCTGCTCCATTGACTTGGGGCGTAGTCAAAGGTCTTCTCTTGAGAAACTTGCGATGGTGGCAGACCCAGGAACAAATCTGGAGTCCCACTGGAACCCTGACGATCGGATACAGCTACCCAAATATGTATATGGCCGAGAACTACAACTCTCCACAAAGTCCGATGTGGGCATGTCTGGCATTCATATGTCTAGCTGTTCCACAAGATCACCCCTTCTGGACGTCAAAGGAAGAGCCGTACCCAACGAATCTCCTTCCGAAAGTGAAGGCACTGAAACACCCCGGTCACATCATCAGCTATCTCGGTGGTCATCGAATGATACTCTCGTCTGGTCAGGCATGCAGCTACCCGATGAAGGGAACCCACGCAAAGTACGGTTCTTTTGCATACAGCAGTGCATATGGATACTCTGTCCCAACCGGATGTTTCACACTCGAGCAATTCGCGCTGGCATCTCAGCTTGGCTTGTCAGACGACGGTGGTGAGTTCTGGAAAGCCCGCCGACTCTGTGAGGAAGCGGTTATCGAGACACACGAAGATCAGCCGGTCCTGAAATCCATTTGGAAGCCGTATCCTGATGTCAGAATCAAGACATATCTCATTCCACCGGTGGAGGCAACTCCGAATTGGCACTTACGAGTTCACAAGATTCAAGCTGGTCGTGAAGTGATGACTGCAGATGGGTCTTTTGCAATTTGTAACGAAAGGAAGCTGGACGGGAGATATCTAGATCTGTACGATGCCAAGAAAGGGGAAGGAACTCTACCAAAAATTATAGGCAACTATGATTTGAACACTCCTGAGGGTAGCTCACCAGGTTCCGTGGGTTCCTTTGTAGTGTCCAAGGGAGCTGTGGGAATCGCAAGTCTCGAAGCTGGTGCACAGCGTACGGCAATGCTTGTCAATGCTGACCCCAACTCGAATCTCGTTGAGAGTAGGACAGTTATTCCAACGCTGCAACACACTATCAAAAGGGGGCATACAGTCTGGTATGTGACTGCAGTCTATGCAAAGCCCTCGGGAGAAGGTATCTCGCCTCAGAGCTATCTCGATGGTTGGGAAATTAAACCTGTCATCCCAACATGGCTGAAGGATGTTATGACAGAGTGGTGATATCGCTCGTCGTCAACGGTCGTGGCTATGTAATGCAATCCAAGGTAGTATTGCTCTCATTTCTAGCCTCCACGAAGGACTTTGGACGTTCTTGGGCAAGTCTACATATTATGACCGAATCAGATGCAAGAAACCAATGTTCTGCTAGTAAGAGTTGCATATGCAAGCAATTAAATCGAAACACCACCAGCACTACTGAAAAGTCCCCTCTTGTGCCAAGTTAAGAATACCTCAAGTGTTCAGATTCCCTTGGTTTGATTAGTATGATTATCCATCTTTAGATGAGGAGAATGTGCCAGCCCAAATCGCTAAGCTCTTGTGGTAAGCGGCTTATGGACGAGTTTGATCCATCAATCAGACTCCAACATATGGAGCTCCTCCCTACAATTGCGTGTCACGTTCCATCGAACTTCTTGGCTCGATAAGGGAAGTCACTGTCTAGTTTTAGGCCAGACGAGCTGACGAGCTGACCGGCGATCATACTTCTTCAGATTGCGGGGTCCAATCACTCCTCTTTTGTGCTTACTTGTAAACTAGCGCATATACCCATGATTTTGTTCTCCTCGTCTTACGGTAATGCATTTTACCCGGAGGTTCATTGGCGGGGTAAATATGCGGGGTGCCCATTAGCCGTTGAGGTCGGGGTGCTCCAGATGTAGCGTAAGCATGTACTTGAAAAGAGCTCTTGCTGCCCTCTGAACTAGGTACTGGTACTTGAGTGCTTCTAATTCTCCTACCCCTCACTATTCTCCTGGAGGGAACCCTTTCACATTCCAGCTTCAAGCTCACAAAATAGATATTACGCACTACACAGCTTCTGGTTGATATTATTGAACCCTGAGCGGGATTGTGAAACTCCACACTATGGGTTTATTACAGAAAGTTGTCAAAAATGAGGCAATGAAGCAGTGAGTAAGTTTTCAATTGGAAGATAGTATGCTGACTTTCCAAGGGATCCTCCCCAGATCTATGGTATACTCGACCGACTCGGCTGAAAGAATATAAACTGACGAGGAGAAAGGATGGAAGGTCTTTTTCTTGTCTGCCAGTGCATGTTTTGGAGGAATGCTGTTTGGCTGGGGTGAGTCGTGGTCCTCACAGTTGGGCACCACGTTCTGACATTCTGGCATCCGAAAGATATTGGCTCAATTGGAGGAATCCTTGTTATGCCGTCTTTCATGAAGTGCGTTACGGTGCCGAGACATATGTCGATGGGCAATGAACTAATCGGGTACAGAGCTTATGGTATTGCAAAGTTGAGTGCTAAGGACAGAGCAAACTTGCAGAGCAACAGTGAGTATTTTGCGAAATCTTCGTCTAGGATGCTTCTGATCAATGGACAGTCGTTAGTACACTCCAAGGAGGATGTTTCTTTGGATCCTTGATTGCATATTACATTGCAGATAGGTGGGGTCGAAAGGTATGGCCAATGCAGACTGTCAAGCCAATATACAATACTGAGAGATTTAGCCCGCGTTGTTGATTGCATCAATGGTTACAATCCTAGGTATAATAGTTCAATGTTCTTCAGACGGGCATGTGTAAGTCACAATATTTTTTGGAACTTCTGCACATATAGCTCATCGAAAACAGTGCTGCACTCTATGTCGGCCGTCTCGTAGCAGGATTGGGTGTTGGAGCTGCTAGCATGCTCACGCCTCTCTACGTAAGCACCTTTCTGGATGGCCCATATTTTTCAACTCATTAAACGAATACAGGTTTCTGAAAACGCGCCTCGCGCAATTCGTGGCGGATTGACCGGTCTTTATCAGCTATTCATTGCAACGGGTTAGTATCTAAGACAATATATGTACCTCTTGAAATTTGCCTAATCAACGAGACAGGCACTATGCTGAGTTTCTGGACTAACTATGTACGTTCCAAAGAACATTGAGAAAACCCTCAAACTAATCTAATGGCCTATCTAGGGAACCTTGGGGAATCTCAAAGGGAACGCTCAATGGCAGGTTCCACTGGCACTTCAAGCTCTTCCCGCTCTCGCGCTTTTCTTCGGTCTCGTCCTCTGTAACGAATCGCCAAGATGGTTGGCCAGACAAGACAATTGGGACAAGGCTACAACAGTCTTGACGAGACTCAGGAAGTACGCAACCAAGCTCAAGTAACTTAAAATAAATGCTGATCTTCCAAGCTTGCCCGTAGACCATGAATACATCCACATGGAATTGGAAGAAGTAAGATCCCTGGAAGTTTGAGGTGTGCCATTTTTGCTGACCTCTTTATAGATGAGAGAGCAACTGGAGAACGAGGTTCGTAGACTTGCTGAGACTCTAATGTGTTTTAAGTATCTAACCTATAGATAGCGACTTTTGATTGGGGGAGCTACTTTCATCGACCTTCAGAAAGAGATGTGGTTGATCAAGGGAAACAGAAACAGAGCTCTCACTTCGATCGGACTCATGATCTGTCAGCAGATGACCGGAACGTAAGTGTTACATTTTGACCATGGTAATATACCAGAGCGCTTGAAATTGATACAATTGAACAGCAACGCTATCAACTACTATGCTCCCCTAATTTTCCTCAACCTGGGTATTCCAGTAAGAACCCCTTCCCCTCCGGTTCCGAAATGTGTCTTCTAATATCTCAACCAGGCAGCCCAACAAGGACTCTTTGCCACAGGCATCTACGGCATCGTCAAAATGGTAGCCTGCGCAGCATTCCTCCTACTCGCCGCCGACTCCCTCGGACGCCGTACGTCCCTTCCCCTCCCTTTCCACCCTCCCTAACTAACCCAACCACCAACCAACCAGGTCGCTCCCTCCTCTGGACCTCCATAGCCCAAGGCAGCGCCATGTTCGTAATCGGCTTCTACATCCGTTTCGACCCGCCCATAAAAGGCCACCCCATCCCGCCCGTTGGCTACTTCGCCCTAACCTGCATCTTCCTCTTCGCCGGCTTCTTCCAATTCGGCTGGGGTCCCTGCTGCTGGATCATCGTCTCGGAGATCCCGACCGCTCGTCTGAGAGCTATGAATGTAGCGCTTGCGGCTGCGACGCAGTGGCTCTTTAATTTCGTCGTTGCGCAGGCCGTGCCGCATATGCTTACTGATGTCGGGGCGAATGGCTATGGGACGTATTTTGTTTTTGGGAGTTTTTGCTTCGCCATGTTCTTTTTTGTGTGGTTTTTGATTCCGGAGACTAAAGGATTGAGTTTGGAGAAGTAGGTTATCCCTTCCTCGTTGTGCCACTTGTTCTGTCTGCGTCTTTTGTGCTGATTGGGATGGTAGGATGGATGATCTCTTTGGTGTCACTGAGCTCGTGGGGAAGATGATTCATGAAGATAAAGAAGCACACCATAAGCCAATGGAGATTCACGAGAGCACTGCTACAGCCCCTGCAGCTCATGCTACTGATAGTCCCTCAATCTAAGACCGACGGAAGATATCTCTCACTCGTCAATGTATTAGATTCAAAAAAGGCGGTCCCGAAAAGGCGGTACCGGGCTTTTATACACGAGATGACGAGGAGGCGGAACGCCGTATTGAAGAACTGGAGGTTTGTTCAAAGAAATTATATGTGATACGCAAGGGAATTAGGACTTCACAGTCCACGTCCAGAGAGCTTTGTCTAGCGTAAAGAATCGATTCAGTCTTGGAATGGTGTAGCCAGGGAAGTCACATGCTGGACACTTTTCGGAGAGAATGGACAAATGCTCGAGAATCAACTCTGAAACAGGATGCTGAGCTGTGAGGACTGGGGAATATGATAAATTAAGAGTCGTGTATCTAAGCCGGCGTTCAGGTTGAAAAGTTCCAGCAAATCAAGAGAATCCTGACTCCGCATGTTGAAGGAAGAAAGGAGCCAGCCAGTTGGTTGAACCTTTGACCAAAATAACTTTTATTTAAATGCCCCACCCATCCGAAAATAAACCTCCCATTGATTGTGACGCTGCCAGGAGATTACCTGTGGGTCTTTGTGAACTCGTTAATATACTCAGCCAACTTCTCTGCGCCCGAGAGGGGTATTGAGTTATAGTTGCTGGCTCGGATGCCCCCAACGCTTCTGTGGCCCTTGAGCCCTGTGAGGCCCTTCTCCACAGCGCCTTTCAAGAACAACTTCTCCGCATCGTCGATGTTTGCGAGCTATTTGGGTCGTTAGCATGAGTTGTTGGAGTTGGGGTCTGAAAACATACGTGTGTCACTCGGAAGCAGATGTTCATCCTTGAGCGAGCGCTCTTGTCGGGTACCACTTTATATGATTCGGGGTGAGCATCGAGCGCAGCGTAGATAAGTTTGGCTTTCTTTTCTGCGACAGCTTGTTGGCCGTCGACTTTATCGGGGAAGCTTTTGAGTGATTTCTGGAGAACTTGGCCAGCGATGAAGACACTGCAAGATATTAGTAGATTTGGAAAGTTCGTGTGAGTTGACCTTACTCGAATATGCTGAGGGTGTTGTAAAGACTGTTGTTCTTGGCAATTGTCTCATATGAGAGTACAATAGGACCAATTGGCAAGCCAAGTTTTCGTAACAGTGTCGGGGATGGTGTTGCCACAACTGGAGGCAGGAGGTTCTTTTTGATGATGACCACTGTGATACCAGTGCTTCCCAGATTTTTCTGTGCACCAAAGAAAATGACGGAGAAGTTCTTCACTAGTATCCGTCTCGAGAGGATATTTGAGGACATATCTGCAACCACAATCGGCTCTCCCTCTTCTCCGTTTGGCTTCAGAAGCTCTGGGAATCCAGGAAATTCGACGCCATCCACTGTCTCGTTGTCACAATAGTAAACCATCGCCGGGTTCTTGGAGAGCTTCCATGAACTTTCCTCTGGTATTTTTCCAAACTTCCCATCATTGACCTTCCTCGCATCCGCCACGATGTTCACATGTTCTGCACCGACCAGTCGAGTTGCCTCTTGACTAGCCTTCAGTGACCAGGATCCAGTGACTAAATAGTCAATCTTCAATTCCTCGTCCACAGCTTTTTGTAATTGCTTCACCAGCTCGTCTTCGGGAATATCTTTCTCGGTCTTGATGCCTAACTCCTTCAATATCTTTTGCTTCCTCCGTTCCACCCAGACCCCGACTAAGTTGTAAACTGTGGCAGAGAACTCTCCACTTCCCCCAGCTTGCATAAACAGGATTTCGTAGTCATCGGGCACGTCGAGGTATGTCGCAAGGTCGGCCTTTGCTTTGTTGACGATGCCGGTTGCCAGTTCTGAACGATGAGAATGCTCCGCTAGGCCCAGTCCTGTCCCATTGTAGTCTACCAATGCTGCTGCTGCTGTATTCAAGACATCTGTTGGCAGCAGGGCTGGGCCAGCGCCAAAATATGTGATGTCCTCACGGCTGGGCATCTTGGTCCTCGGATGCGATTCTTGGGGAGGAAACTCGTGTTATCTTGTACTTAGAAACGTCTATAATATAAAGTGTCAGTTAGAGCAACCTTGGAATGGAAAAGAAGCTTGAGTGCTGGGTCCGTTGCAAACCTCTGTTGTCAACTTGCATGCTCTCTCCGATTGCGGAGGGCTTGGTGGGATGTTGATTGCATGAGGGTGAGCAGAGATGAAGCTATACTTCACGTCTACACTACATACCTTTTGGTTGATTATTCTATTCGTCTGTTCCCGTTCTTGTGTACGAAGTCGTCAAAATCCAATTCAGAAGAAGTTCCACGATGAATGAGTCAACAAAGCTTGTCTTCCCCGGATTTTCATTCCCAAGCTAAGGTGGGCTGTTTAGCGCCCCCAAAAAACATGGGTCCTTGTCAGCCTCGCATTCTACACAACTGCCGAGCTTCACCAACCTCACTCTTCAGCCTCGTAGCTCCTCTCTCTAATTTCTTATTTTTCATGCGTCGAGGATGCTGGGAATTCTATATATTGTTGCAACTGAAGTAGGACTTGAGGAGTGAGAAACAGAGATGGCCGAACGGAAGATGTCAGAGGCTGGTCCCTCCAAGGTTCAAATCCCCACTGTGTCATTCCGTATGTATTCTCCGGCAATGGTAATGAAGCTTGCTGATAATATGTATAGCTACGCATAATTCTCCCCGGGTGTGGTTCCTCACAAGTGCACTATCACCATTAGCCGTACGGTTGATCAAACACCTGCTTGCTCATGGCGATTACGTTGCTGCGGGGCTCCCACCAGCCGAAATCGAAGACGATGATCGAAGTGCCGAGTTTAGGGAATTGATAAACGAGTGTAAGAGCGGACGAAAAGATAGAGAAGGATGGAAGGACAGGATAAGAGGCATAAGATGTGATGGAAGAATCATGGGACAATGCGGAGCAGCGATAGCCGAAGCAGTTGAGGTTTTCGGTCGCATAGATATTCTACTATGTTGTACATCAGAAGGTGATTTTCCTTCTTCAGTTCCCCTTTTCATTCTTTCTCTAACAAAATAAATAAGCCGTCGTTGGCACGGTCGAAGAGTTATCCACCAACACCTACACCCAGAACCTCGTGCGCGACCAATTCGAAACCATCTTCTTCAGCCAAGTAAACTTCATCAAAGCCACGCTCCCCCGCCTCCGCGACCGCCACAACGGCCACATCATGATCCTCACCGGCATCAGTGGCCACATCGGCACACCGGGGATGCCCATGTACTGCGCCTCGATCTGGGCACTGGAAGGCTACTGCGATTCCCTAGCCTACGAAATCGCGCCTTTCAACATCAAGCTCACCATCGTGCAACCAAATAAAGAGATCCCCGTTCTGACCAACAAGATTATCTTCGCGCCCCAGCTACCGCAATACGAGAGTGGTAATAATCCGGCGCCGGGCCTGCGAGATATCCTGACGAATGTGGTTAATACTAATCCGGAGACCAAGATTAGTAGTCGCGAGAATAAGACGGATATTGTGTCAAGGTATCCCAAGTTGCCGAGTGAGGCTAGAGATAGGTTGGTTATGGAGACGGTGCATGCTCTTACGGCTATAGGGGGGCATGAGAATCCACCTGCGAGGCATATTGTAGGGTTTGAGGGCGTGGCGAGTGTGAAGGAGAAGTTGAAGACTGTTAGTGAGGAGTTGGAGGATTTTGTGGAAGTCAGTTGCTCGGTGGATATTTTTAAAAGTGATGTTCGGAGAGCTGCGCTGAGTGGTGGGAATAGGGGGGAAGAAAGTGCAAGTGGTAGTGTGTCTGGAAATACCGCGGGCCCTTCCAGTGGTGTAGAAAATTTATTTTAAGAAGTGGAGTATCTATATCTATATCTATATCCATATCCTACACCAAATGGCGTAATCTGACAAGGCTTGTGTCTGGAGGGAACGTCTAGTTATTATATATTATCCGTACACCAAACCTAGGTCTAGAAACACCCCAATCACAGCGAAGTGACTAAATGCTCATAGCTGCTCTCATGATCACAATTCCTCATCCCCATCCTAGCTATAGCCTTTTCGCCTCCACCTCCTCACATCCATTCTCCACCTCCCACCTCTCTCTTTCTCCATTAGCATCTCTACATCTATTTCTCGCCTATTGAAAGCAGTCACCTCTTAGTACCTATCTCCTAGAAACTTCTAGATATCCAAGCTCATCAAGATGGTATCCCAAATATCCTCTTCTGAAACGGATCAAACCCTTAATCACCCAAATAACTCTCCAAAACAGCCACTGACACATCCCCTCCCTCACCCGTCTCAACCGCTTTACCATCCTCCCCCACAAAAACATACTCCAACCCCCTCGCTACCTCATAATGAGGACACTTCATATTCCACCTTTCAACCCCCCTTCCACCCCGCAAAGGTAAAGATCTCAAAATTTATTACTTGATCATTCTATAGACATCGAAACAAAGATCTCCTCCGTGTTGATGTTGTTGTTGTCTTTGCGAGACGAGATTCGGCGTCGGTAATACTCGTAAGTTCATCCGCACTGGCAGAAAGTCCACACCGCCTAGATCGGCAGAATACAACACCACAAGGTGCATGCAGCTTCACTTTTGAGCACAAGACAAACCAAAACTCCAGTCTGTAATAGAAGCCTTCCCATCGCTGTTCTCTGGCCCATCTACATTTGATTCGAGACAATATGTCCTCATCCAGAATACGATAAGGCCCGCCGCAACACTCACCATCCGCCCTCCCTTCAGTCCCTTTTCACAGCCAGGCGCATCCCAAATGTTGTCAGAATGCTGGACCAGCTATCGCCCGTTGCTCCTGCCAGAGTACGAGTGGTACTTTTGCCAATTGGCCAGATCAAGCGCGCAAGATTCCTAAACTTCGTCGAGAGGTTACAGCCTGAAAATGTTGTGCGCCTGGGGGATATTAGTCCAGATGGACGACCACATAGGAGTAAGGGCTAGCTCAGTATAAACCCCCCCTTTGACCTGGCTGATACCTCCCAGATATGTTCTCACCCCTGGCCTTCCCCACTGGCATGATTGTATACGATCTTACGACATTTTACCCTCCATCCTCCCATGTCGCTCTGTCCCCATTCGAACTATATCGCGAACCATTGGTTTTCATTGCCATTGGAGATGGCGCAGAGTTGGACCACGTAGCATATCGAAATCCTAGGAGGAGTCTCAATGGAAGTGGACCGCCTCGGCCGGAACACAACTTGCGGGAGTTATATCAAGATTTGGAGGATGTTAGAGACAGGTATCCGAAAGGGCTGGTACACCAACTATTGCTATTTGATTACGTTCATCCAACCTCTGCTGGTCCATTACCCGAGGGACTGGTGGCGGTGCCTCCACCTGCACAATGTACGATTACAACGCTGAAAACTATCATGTGTGATATCTCATCTTTGCTGTTAGCAGAGATGACTACATTAGCCAAGTCCCTCCAGGCTCTGAATACGATTGAATCGCCGAGTCAGTCACAAGGTAGTCGACAACACAACGAGACTAGACAAGCAGATTTGCTTTCGCGGCGGAATTCGCATATATCCTCAGCTGCTCAAAACTCACGCTCCGATTCTCCTGGAGACAGCCATGATCGCAACCATGTTCGAATGTCTATGCCAGTCCTTCGCTCGACAGATTCCAACACCTCTTCCTCATCTGGTCGGCCAACTACACCTCAGAATGGCGCCCAGACTGATCTGCCTACATCATTTGACCAAATTGTTGGTCGTAATAAGTCAGATTCGACGCCTTCACAAAGGCCAATATCCTCACGGTTGACTAGTACGGAACCCGTCCGAGATATCAGCCGCGATCGGGTTTCTGTTCAGGGGTTTGGACCTGGCAGTATCAGCGAGAGGTCCAGGAATATTGGCAAAGGGCGCATTGGCGTTGTGGTTGGTTCGCTTTACCTTCAGGCTGGGCGATGGGGGGATGCGCTGCGGGAGCTCACCGAAGCTGGCGCCATAGCAAAATACAATCTCGACCACTTATGGCATGCTAAATCCCTCGATTATATCCTCGTAAGTATGCTTATGCTTGCCTGGACCGGCCTCGATTTTCAAATACCTCAAATCTGTTATATCACAGAAAAAGCACTCCAGGCGTCAAGCTCTGGTGAACCTAAATCTCCTGCAAGCAATCGACTTGTGTCTTTACAAAATCTTGTAGTACTACTGCCAGAGCTATTGGACAGGATTCTGAATCTTTATGCTAGAGCAGCGAACAATACCGGGGAGGCATTACCTCAGTTCCCTTTCTCGGAGTCGGTTGTACGATTCTCGAAATTGCTTTCTGTCATCCACTTAGCAGGAGGGGAATTGGATGATGACGTTTTGCAGCTTCTGGTTGTTAGTACTCCATTCAAAAAGCGACCGAACGTTGTCTCGCCTCGCGTAAGCATTCGCCCAACGAGGACGGAAATCGTAGCGACCTTATTTCGAGCTTTTCCCTCGAAAGAATTACCGGAGTATTTATTATCCGTTGTTGATCGCACAATCGTATTGAGTGGAATAGCGTCAACTTTGGGCTTGCTGGGGTACTATAGAAAGAAGGCCATGGTGATGCGCGAGCTGGTCAAAGTTCTGATACCTGGTCTTGTCCAGGCGAGAATCAAAGGGGCTGCCGAAATGGGTGTACATCCCGCAGCTGGTTTAGCTGCTCTTAATTCTATCAACGGAAGTACACACGGTGCAGGAGCGCTTGATCTTGGTGAAGGAGACGTTGAAAATGGAGTGGATAGCTTCCTCGGGCTACTGGGCCAAACATATGGCGTTGTTTCATCAGTTGACAATTTTGGAGAGACAGAGTTGCATGACGATTCGAATGAAGCTGCAATAGCAAGAATTGTAAAGAACGCCACACTTCGCGCTTTTGGGGGCCAGGGCCTCAAGATGGATGTTCTTCGTTCTTGTATTAATTTTTCGGAGGCGTTGCCTGATTTCCACGGCGTCTTGAGGTTCACAGCTGATCTCTTGAGAACAGCTGGCAGCGGCGTTGCTCCAGGTCCTCGCAGTGATGATGCGTCTCCATCAATGACTCGAGAAGAACAAGTCCGACTCGCTACCAACATAACAAGAACCCTTGGCGCGGCGAGGAGCCTGGGCGTCAAGAATATCGCAGCTGAGTACTGGGACGAATTTTTAGTCCGAGGTGTAGAGCTTGAAGCTTTGCCGGTCGCCAGAACGCCAATCCCCCACAAGAAAGATGAGCTTCCTGGCACAACAGCGGTCGCTTCATCACGAGGGGTCAATCCCTTTATCTACAACCCATTTTTACGCGCCCCCGATACTACTGCAGTGGATCGCTTACTTGTGGCTGGCGAGGGCGCAATTTTTCGAGTCACTTTGCAAAACCCCTACGAGTTTGATGTAGAGATTGAGAGCATGAAATTGGAATCTGAAGGGGTCATCTTTGCATCCTCAGTTCAGAAGACAGTAATTGGGCCGTATCGGACACAGATTCTGTCGGTTTCAGGGACTCCCAAAGGTGCGGGGCATTTGAAAATCACAGGATGCATAGTAAGAGTTCGAGGATGCCGAGAAAGACGCTTTCCTATCTTTGAAGATCCCTGGTCACCTCAAAGCGCCGTCAAAGTCAAAACTATTGGGGTTGCTGCCATTTTCAAGCCGAAAGACCGACCGACTAGTACCGATTCCCGATCAACAATCTCGCCCTCAATGACTCCTCCAAAGACAACATCCATAGGATTGAACGTTATCGAAAGGCAACCCGTCGTGATTGTCAAGTCCAATACTCTCTCTCAATCTGCTGTCATGGTATTAGAAGGTGAACGCCAGAGGTTTTCAGTCACACTGGAGAATCTTTCAAAAGACACACCTGTGGATCTGCTGCTGTTCACGTTCAAAGACTCGACTCAAGCCCCTCTACAGACTGCTATAAGCAACCGCGATGCTTCACCAGCAGAGTTGTATGAGTATGAGCTTATATTTGCGCGAAAACAAGCCTTGCGATGGATACCCAAGGCGGGCGAAAAGCCGCATATCGAACCAAGCAGCACATCTACGTTCGAAATGGAAATCCTTGGGAAGCCAGGGCTGACCAGCGCTATGGTTCAAGTCGATTACGCTTACCTAGGTGTTCCTCCTACCGAAGTACAGGATGATTTTCACACGAGACAAGTGAGCCTGCCCCTTACAATAACCGTCAATGCCAGCGTAGAACTTGCGAGGATGGACATTCTCCCACTCACTGGTACCATTCCGAGATCAATTTGGACGGACATGCAGAGAAGCAAGGATACCAAGAAAGATATTACCCCAGAGGACTACTGTCTTCTATTGCTCGATCTTCGGAACGCCTGGCCGTCCCATCTACATGTTCATCTTGAAGTTTCTGATGAAGGTATGATTGATGAGGAGATATTACCTGGTAATACGTCGAGGATCATGTTTCCTATTCCGCGAATATTCCTCGATGACCCCCACGCGGGAATTCCGGCTCTTGATCCCTCTCGACAACGTCAATTTGTCGTCAGTGCCGGTCCCGTATCCGCTGAGTCGGAACGAAGCAGTCGAGAAGCATTTTGGTACCGAGAACAGATACTCAAAATGCTCCATGGGACGTGGCACACCAAGTCGGGGCCATCTCGAAATGGGGAGATTGAACTGCGAGGAATCAGGTTGAGTCAACGGATGATCGAGGCTGTCAAGATCGAGGAGATTGGTATCGAGCTCATGGTCAACGGCGCTACTTCTCAGAAACCAAGACATGAAGTCTTCACCAACAGTTTCGCTGAATTCAAAGTTCGCATTAGCAATAGGACAACAACGCCAATCTTCCCCATGCTTCGCGTCCAACCATCATTGCGAAACCAAGCTCACAACATATCCCTTGACCTCTCTCGGAAGCTCATTTGGAACGGCATTCTACAACAAGCTTTGCCCGAAATAGCCGGCAAAGAATCAGTGGAGATTGGCATCGGTATGACAGCTCTCTGCAGAGGCGAGTTTGAAATCAGCGCTTCGGTCGAAGAAGCGCGACTCAAAGAACTTCCCCTCGAAGAGGGGAAAGGTAGTGTCACACGACCGCGAGCCAATACGAGGGCGATGATGGATGCTCTGTTAGGAGCCAAGGAGCGAAGAATGTGGCATTCTCGGGAGCCGTGCTTAGTCGTGGTTAGGGACGAAGATAGTAGTGACGATGATGATAATGAATGATTAGTGTAATGTAAAAGTAGGTAAAGCATAGGAGGTCGGTTCTTTTGCATAGCGGATGCGGATACCGGTCGACATGTATGAATGATACCAAAACTTGTCTAGCAGAGGCCATCGTACCATTTTTGAAGATACTCGCTAAATTGGCTTGCTGTAAGCAAATTTGATCTTGTGGTTAGGTCGGGACTGTATCTATTAGTCTTTGGAGAAGTAAGAGAAATATTAAGCGAGGTGGAAAGGGGGAAAGGGGGAAAGGATAGGGCAAATAAAAGGGGACATGACAAATATATTAGTCAACCGCCCCCACTTCTAACGTGCTAAGCCTCTCTTATCATTGCGGGCCCCGACGGAACGCCGATACTCACGATATATCGTAGTATCTGATTCTTTGATCTATACTTACGTACTAGGTAGTTTCGATTTGAGCTTCTATCTCTCTCTCCGTTTCGTTTATATATCATTCCATTCCATTCATTCATTCCTTTTCTCTGTCTTCTCTTAATTGGGATCTCAACTTTTACCACTCCAAACCACATTCCAATATATTCACAACTCCTACTTCCTCAAAATGTCCCTCCCCCCTCAAATCAAACAATGGACCACCTCCCAAGACGGCCTCTCAAACCTCACTCTCACCATTGCCCCCCTCCCCACCCCGGGCCCCTCAGAAGTCCTCGTCAAAATAAACACCATCGCCCTCAACTACCGCGACACAGAAGTAATCATGGGCCTTTACAACCACCACCTTACCACCGGCGGCCCTCCCCCCTCCATAATCCCCTGCTCAGACATGTGCGGCACCATCATAACCTCGCACTCGGCGCTCTGGAGCCCCGGCGACAGCGTCCTCAGCATCTTCAATCAAACGCACCTGATGGGACAGATCAAAGCGCCGCACATGAAAAGCGGCCTCGGCGTCCCGCTACCGGGCGTGTTGGCCGAGTATAGAGTTTTCCCCGACTATGCATTGGTGAGGAAACCGGCGTATTTGACCGATGAGCAGGCGTGCACCCTGCCGATTGCGGGCGTTACGGCTTGGATGGCTATTAATGGCATGAGGCCGCTGGGCCAGGCCGGTGGGAAAGGCGAGACGGTGTTGATTCAAGGGACGGGCGGGGTGGCTGTTGCGGGGCTGGGCATTGCGAAGGCGAGTGGTGCGGAGGTGATTATGACTTCTTCTTCGGATGAGAAGCTGCGCATGGCGAGGGAGTTGGGGGCGGATAAGACAATTAATTATCGCAGCGTGGAGAATTGGGACGATGAGGTGCTTAAGATGACGGGTGGTGAGGGCGTGGATATCATTTTTGAAAACGGGGGCGCTCAGACGTTGAGGAGGTCGTTTAACTGTGTGGCGTTTGGGGGCTTGATTGATTGTATTGGGTATCTGTCTGGCAAGGAAGACGCGCCGGGGGATCGGCTGAATACAAATGTTCTGGCATTGATGAGGAATGTTACACTGAAGGGGATTCTGAATGGGCCGAAGGAGCGGTTCGAGGAGATGCTTGCTTTTTATGAGGAGAAGCAAATTATACCTGTGGTGGATAGGGTCTTTGCGTTTGAGGATTCGAAAGAGGCGCTGATTTATCTTTTTAAAGGTGGACACTTTGGTAAAGTTGTTATTAAAGTCGCTTGACATGCCTATTAATGGGCGGTCCTAGATGGATTTCTAAGATAAATCTATCTGACTGTATCAGTTCCTGAAAGTGGATCTGCACAAACGCATTGCTATACTTTCTCTCAGGGAATCCTTTTCTCTATCCTGCTCATCCAACGCAAATCCAACACGGATCCTCGAAACGATTCTGACTACCAACTAAAATTGGTGCCGCTTTTCTTTGTCTAGCACGAGGTTGCACTCTCCCCTGAAATTAAGCGAGCCGCGTTTAACCTCATACCTACCTCACTACTTTGGCACCCGGTCCCAAAACGCACCATTACTTGGATTGAGTGATACAGCGGCTGGTGGTTCCTCGGCCTCTTCATGGTATACTCTGGTCTAGTTTTTGCCGGCACGCTAGAAAGAGCGATTCGCAAGAATGAAGCGTCTCACATCTCACATGCCAATAATTAGATAAAATCTTCATTAATCATGCTCTAGTGCTCTACGGGTATATTCCTTTCTCCCTCTTACATATTCCATCTCAATTACCAAAATCCATCCTCAACGCAATACTCGGCTCCCTTCCCCCCGCATCCTCACTACCCGGCCTAACCGCCTGCGCCTTCCGTCCTTTCATAATAACACCTTCCATAAACCCCTTCTGGCCCTCACTCAACCCACTAACCACGCCCCTGAATCCCGCCTGATCACTTCCAGCCAACTCCAGCAATCTCGCACTCGTTTCCTGATACACACCTTCACCCTCTGTACTTGCGCGCTGCAGTAACATCGGCATAATGACTGACATCGCTACAGGCTTTTGCGATGGGGAGAGAGTGGAGACGAAGGCCGTGAGAGCGTGTGATACGAGCGCGCGGGCGTTCTCGGGATCTTCAGTTGTGGATGTGCTGAAGGATATTAGGCGCGGTAGGAGGTATCGTGTAATGGATTGGTCGGCTGGTGTTTTGGGAGATTGCAAGAGGAGGGTACGAATGCAGTTTGCTGCTACTTTGGCGGTCTGTCACGTGTGTGTTAGTATTGAAAGAAACGAGGTAAGGGGAGCTAACGTACCATGCGGTCGCTGAGGCAGTCAAGAACTTCGTCTAGGAAGCGAGTGACGAGGGGCTCAGAAGCGGAGATGTAATTCTTTCCGCTGGTAAGGAGGAGTGTTGATGCGAGAAGAGTGTTCTTGACGCATGGAAGTGAGGCTTCGCTTTCTCGTTTTTGGCCGTTAAGGTAGATGGATAGGAAGCGTTTTAGACAGCCTTGTATTTGAGTGAGGTTTATCTCCTGTTCTTCTCTCTGGATTTTGCGTGACCCTGAGATGCTTGTGATGAAACGCTTGAGGATGGGGAGTGACTGAGGAACCACCACAGCTTGACAGCTTGCTGTGCCCAGGATGGTGGCGAATATATGGATGATGCAAGCATGTAAATCGGTCTTTATAATTGAAGGGAATACCTCCGCTGCGTCAACCAAGGCATTTAGGGATAAGCGCACGAGAATGACAGCTTCATCCGTCATCTGATGTCGCGCAGGCTGTTTGGGCTCGATTAAATTGGGAAGTAAGCCCGCCAAAACCAGAACAATAATTCGAGTCAACTCGAATAACTGTTCGATGTCTTCCGACAAGTCTCCGTCTTCGGTGGCATCAGCTTTCGTTGCAGATGGATGAGAGATACACAATCCTCGAGCAATTTGCACAATGACACCTTGCACATCCAGACCCTCAGTAAGAACCAGGCGGTCTAATAAGTCCATGGTCTCCGAGAAAATAGCCTCCCTATAGATTGCATGCCCAGAAACGCTTGGGTGCAGGATCTTCTTCAGGGCCTGGAGTATCGCCAAAGTCTGTCCTTTCGATGCAAGTGCATCGCTTCCAGGTTTAGCGACAAGTGCTTCAAATGCAATACCAAACAGGACGAAGAAGAAAGCCACAGGCTCATCACGATAATTAATATCGTTGCCCTTAGAATGACCATTCGTGGTCAGAGATTCTGTCTCCTTGCCATCTAGCGCATCAAACACAAACTCGCTGTCCTGCTCGATAAGACTGGCGATTGCATCGACTAGCTTCAACCAAGAATCTTGATAGAATCTCAACAGCGTCTCGCGATTCAGCGCCGAATAGATGCTATCTAAACTACCCGAAAGAGATGGAGGACCAAGACTCATGGAAATATCTGGCTCGAATCTCAGACGAGCAAATTCTCTCAGAGACGCAAGCCACAGAGGAGTTAGCGTTCCAATATAGGGTTTCAGGACATCAATCAAGTAATGCTGCTCCGTGCTTGCGACTTGAAGTTCTGCCCATGCAGAAAAAACAGCCATTTTCACCATAACCTGGGCGTTCGAGCTGAGACCTTTAAGATCTCCAATGGATGCAAACTCGGACTCGGTGGAAAAGTTCTCGAGGGCTGTGACCAAAGTCTTCAGAATTCGACCCATTCGGTCAACATCAGTGACAATACCTGTTGCGATGAATGCTGCGCATACATTGACAGCTTCGGAAGCCAGTTCTGGAGAAGAGTCGGCCGCAAAAGCTGGCGTAAGAGCGGAACTGATCTGGGCTTGGTACTGCTCGAGCAGAGGCGCTTCAGCGAAATCAGGATCGGGAGTCTTGCCAAACATCTTCAAGACGGAATCGATGATCTTTAGACCCCATACTCTCAACTCAACCACATTGGAAGTAGAAGCAGAGAATGCCATTCGAATGACATCAGCAACCTTTTTCTGCAACTCCATCTCCGCCGGCGTAGTGCCATCGGGTGGCGTATCTTTGCTGATGAGTGCAAACATTTCTCCGAGACAGCTCATTGCGAACGTCCGAACTTGCCATCTCAGCGGCTCTTGGCCTGGCCCTGCTGCGATACCATCATCCTTAGCTGCTCCTGAAGCTGCAGCAAAACCTGCCACTTCTTCGTCTTGAAGGTCTGGCATTGTGCTGACTTTTGTAGATGCAGCAGTAGTCTCTTCAGCTTTGGCTCTTGTCATAGTCAGCACGGTTTGGCATCTTTGCAACCATCGCGCAGTCTCGGTGAGACATGATTGTTGCAGCCAGTTCCTGATGACATTTCTGATACCCTCGTGGGTAGGATCGGAGTCCAAAGCCAACCAAAGCTGGTCTTCGAATCCACTTTCTGCTGCTTTGACAACGTCTTCCGAATTCCGCTTCATCAGGTTATAAAGCCCATCAATTGCAATGTCTCTCAGCTCAGGATACTCAGAGTTTAGATCTTTCTGTAGCATCACAACGTAGTCTTTGAAATGCATGTGCCCAGGCGCATATAGAGAAAGGTGCTCTAAACATCTCAGGCTCCCGGCTAAGACAGCAGGGTCAACTTCAGCTTGGAATTGGCTAACGAGAGTCAAGATCAAGTCGCGAGCCTTAGTCATGTCTTGAAGGTCGGGACCGAGAACATTGACCATCGAGTCAGCGCATCTTGCAATGACAGCTGTCGTTGGTAGCTCTAATTCCAGATTCGAGGTCGGACCGGACGATATATCCTCGTTGTGCGTGTCTGCAACATAGAGCTGACAAATCATGCCTAATGTGCTCGACACAAAACCAGAGAAGGTCAAGCCAGCAGAATCGGCAACTCGGGTCAAGGCTTCTAGAGCCCAGAAATGAACTGTCGGGTGTGGATCTTGGCATAGAGACATCAGAACACCGACAATTGTTTTCAGATGAAAACCAGCTGCCATGCCGCCGACTTGAGAATGTATGCACCCTAAGGCCATTGCACATCCAGCTCTTGCACTCGGCTCACGATTGCCCACAATTGTATCGATCAGATATTTGACTTCTTGATTTGTGTATGCGTTTCCAGAGCTGTTGCACAATCTAGACAGTGCCTCGTACCCAATTGTCCGGACATATTGGTCATGATGAATAACAAAAGTCCGGATCATTTCCTGCATCAGCTTCTCTACAGCGGGATTGGAAAGATCGCCAGAAGGTGACTGTGTCTCCTTCACAGCTACTTGTAGCGTAGAGAAGAGCGCTGTTGCAATATTGACATTCATCGCAGCTTTCCGCCCCTGGTCTCGTTGCAGCGACCCTGCTGTCATGAAAGTAGCAATCTGTTCGAGTATACTCTCTTGTATCTTTGAAGGGGTGAGAGGGAATGCAATTGCAAACAGTTGAATAGCAACATTGACAACTTCGGTTGCGGGTGGATCTGGGAGCGTATCCGGGCCCCCTAGATTTCCTAAGTATAATGCTAAAGAGTCGTGTTCAAGCGAGCTGCAGATAGGAGAGAGCAGAACTCTGGAGATGGCAGAGTCGGACCCGTGTTCCTCCATCCAATCGTCAGGATGGTCGTTCTCATGCTGACCGGGGAGTTTTTTGACTTTGAAGCCACGGACTAAACCCGTGACCCCGAATCCGCAATTGTCTCCAACATCCCAAACAGTCTCAAATGTGCCAGCGGAATTCGCAATTGACGTGCTTAACGAGCTGGGAGTGTAATTTTCAGGGTCTGCGAAGAAAGAGACGGCTAGCGTAAGTAGATTCGACTGAAGTAATGCTTCACTCCCGCCAGCAGGACTGAGGTTTACCAACTTTGTGTAACACTGAAGCACTCTCCTTTGAGTCATGAGGTCCAGATCCTGTAATTGTAGAGATGGGCTAAGACGTTGAGATGCATCGTCAATCGTCTTCTTCGATGGAAGACTTTTGAGGAATGCTGTTGTGTTTTGGAGCATTGCAGCTATTCGCTTCGAGACATCGATTGTTAATAACCTGCTGTTGAACTGCAGAAAAGCTAAAATAGAACCGAGAGCACATTCTCTCACATGGGTGAGGAACGAGGACTCTAGATAGCTCCGCTGGGAAGTGTTGTCCTTTGCCAATGGTTTTGGAAGTGCATTCTTCCACAGAAGTAGAAGCTGCGAGAGATGGATTTTGACAAAATTGGGTCCCAGTGACATGAGACCCCCGATCAAGATCCACGCAACTTGAATTTGAGTACTTGATATCCTCAATTCTGACTTGCTGCTGGATTTGAGCAGTCCAGTGGCAAGTGATAGAACTCGACTGTTAACATCTACCGATCCATACAAAGGCTGTACGGGAGCAGTGCTGAGTATGGCTGATAAACCATTCGCATAACCAATACATCTTCGTGGAGAATTCCGCGCCGTGGTCAAGAGACTGAGCTCTCGATTAACACTATTCATGCAAATCGTGAGACAAGATAAAAGCTGTTGGGGACACGCTAGAGCAAACGTGCGCAAGCAGTAAGACGTGTATATCTGAACAGTATAGCTCGGGTGTTGAAGAACCTGTAACAAACCATCCCTACAAGCATCTGAGAAAGCATTTGAAGCCGATCCCAGGATTTTCATCAGAGATGCTAAAGCACTTAAGACTGCAATAAGTGCATGCTTCGACGGCTCTGCTTGTTCCTTGATGACTTGGGGATAGTTCTTCAGCACATCGTTGATCAAAGATTTCGCAGCATCCACCTGGCCCGCCTCACCCAAAATAGTTCTTCCAATAACGTCTTCGAGAATGATTTGGACAAATCTCCGCGTACTCAGGAGTCGATATCGGTTGTTGGTGATATTTGGATGGCTCAATACATCTATCGTCAGGTGATCCACAATTTTCATGTACATCGTCTCGACCGTTCTCTCACTTAGACTCTTGAAGATTCTTGTATAACAGACGGCCAGGCCAGCTCTCGACCTGCTACTGGTCGAGCTTTTCACATAGAAAGTGGATAGCTGCTTCAAAATTTCTGCAAGCGAAAAGCTGAGAATTTGACTCTTCTTTGGACCGGGGCTTTCTGATCTCTGAGGAACATCCTCATCATCCCCTGCTAAAGCCCCTCCCGGAGCCATAGACAGACGTTTAGTATTCGATCGTTTTGGCTTCTTGATCTTCGGGATATCATTATCCTGCACTGGAGCTTCCGAATGTGCCTTAACCAAAGCCTCAGCGAGACATTCCCCAGCAGCCTGTCGAACTAAAGGACTTGTCGAGTCAATAGTCTTCCAAATCGTCGATTTCAGATTGTCAAAATCGCTCGAATTATCGAAATATGGCGTGTGCTTCGAAAACGATTTCAGACACCGACAAGCTGCCATCTGGACTAGAGCAGATTTGTCGCTTGACGCATAGTTCCGTGCCTGTTTCCAGACATCTCTGGCCACTTGTTCGTCCATACTGCCTTCTATCATCTTCGCGATCTTGCCTAGGGCTTTGAAAACCGCTGCTCGTAGCCCTGCATTATTCTGCGCCGCCTTCAAGAGTTTCAAGAGCGCAGAACATGCTAAAGGGTGTAACCCAATGGCACTATCCCCTGCTGCCGCAAAGACATCTCCCAAGCAGTACACAGCCGCATGTTTAGTCCTCATATCCCCATCCGACTTTGACTTTCCTCCGCTGATGATAGCAATCATATCATTGATTGTCTCAAAGAGCAGTTTCCTATCTCCTTTCCCGAGTATATGCGCAAGACATTTCCCCAGATTATTTCGTATTACTCTCGTTGGAGGCGGGGCGGCGAGGTTTAGGATTTGCATAACCTCTTTCTTAAGGTATAGCTGCTGCGCTGTGCAGTCGTCAGGGTCGAGTCCTTCGACATGTTTCGTGAGGGTCGAGACGAATGTAAGGAGGTATAGGTCTTGTTGTTCTGAAGGGAGGGACTGTAGTTTCTTGATGTCGAGCTCAGGAGTGGAGGGGAGCTCTGCTCGAGGTGTTGACGCCCCATTTGAAGAGCTGGGGAGGTTTGTCGAGGACATTGACACGTCGTTATAGGAGGTTTGAGAAACGTGAATGTTGTAATCTGATTGGGAAGTAACTGAGGCTTCGCATCGAGTACGGACAGCAGTACGTAGGTGGTGAAACTTCGGGTAAATTTATTTTGCTGGGCTGACTCCAAAAACCATGCTTCTTACTACCGGTATCTCCCTTACAGTATTTTCCCAAGACGATGGCTGTATTCTCTAGAGGGCTTCGTTCTTTTTCCCGCAGAGGGGATTTCATCTGTTCAGAATGCCTTCGATTTTCTACATCGTCAATTGTGCAATCAGGCCATAACCGGTGGTCCAAGATTAAGCATGACAAAGGCACGGCAGATGCAAAGAGGAGTGCAAAGAACTCACTTTTCTCCAGAGAAATAGCCATGGCATCAAAGTGTAATGATCTCCCAAAAGGGTTACGAGACTCAAGTCCCTGACAAAACTTAGGTGGTGGCGCGGACCCAAATTCAAACCCCAGACTTGCGATGCTGTTGGTAACTGCGAAGAAAGGTACTTGACGGCGTATAACCCCTTCCACCCAAAAGATTGTGCTACAAAAGGCTTACACATGCTAGCTGGATGGCCAAAAGCAAATATGGACAACGCAATTGCGCGCGGCCAAGGCCGTTCAACTACAGGAGCAGCGCTCCAAAACCTTACGCTGGAAGTGATCATGCCACCGACAATAGCTCTAATTATCGAAGCCGAAACAGACAACGCCAAGCGTACATTGTCAGAGTTGAGATTACTAGTAACTAAAAATGGGGGGACAGTGACGCCTACGAATTACCTGTTCCAGAAGAAAGGAAGGGTAGCATTTGAGAAGGACGAGCGGAACCTGGGGGTGGATGAGGTGCTGGATGATGCCATTGAAGCTGGTGCCGAAGATGTTGAGGCTGATGAGGATGGAGGTATTGTAGTCTGGACGGAACCGAATAAGACTTCTGCTACTGCGGAAGCTCTGCAGAAAAGTTTGAATCTGAAGGTGGAGAGTTCGGATATTATTTGGCATGCGAACGAAGATACGAAAGTCCCGATGGAGGATATGGGTAGGGCGAAGACTCTTGCGGAATTCATAGATCTTGTGAGGGACCAACCGAGCGTCCAGGGCTTGTATTCCAATGTTGCGCAGGGAAGTTTGAGTGATGAAGTTTGGGAGGATTTACAAAGTAGACTAGACGCATAGATGACGTTGTCGATGTACATATATTGTATTTGTACAACAGAGCAGAAGGCGTCTCCCCTTCCATCTCAATTCACGAGCAGAGAATGCTTCTAATTCGAATCCTGCGCCAGTAATGTCTTCCCCCAACGCCTTCAATGCTGTGATATTCCTTCCTCGTGTTGTTCTTCAACCTAGGTAGATGCGTGTGCCTTCATAACCCGTCTCATACATATCTCCACCCAACACTCATGAATCCTGCCCCTCATTCTTCCCCTCATTCTGCAACCTCTTCTCCCTCAAATACAATCTCCGCTGCTTCAGCCTCTCCAGCTCAGAATGTATCTCTTCCTTCTCGAACGGGATGCGATTGGTTTGCTCCGGCTTGGGCCAGAAATCAGGCACAGAGAAGCGCTTATCGAGATTCGTGCCATAGTAGTACATTGTTGCTATCGGGAACATGATATACATGCCGAACTGGAAAGATCGTTAGAAATGATATGGAGGGGCGAAGATGAGGGAGAAGAGGGGGGGTGGATGGAGGAATACCTTGAAGACTTCTAGATTGGGGCCGCCCATATTTACCGCAGCGCAGATGGAGAATGGCTTGGTTTATATTTGAGGGAATTGGGTCCAATTGTTGTGCTTCAAAGCCTTGAGGCGGACGAGGTTCGATATCAAAAGTGAAGCTCGCCGCTAAATCATACGATAGCCTTCACGTGCCTGCCAAGACGCTAGAGTCGACCCCTACCAGTTTCCCAGGCATGGTGTTAGTAAGAAATTATTCATGAACATACATTCGTACGAACCCAAAGCCTAGTAAAATAATACGAACTTTATTACGGAGGTACAGCGGTTAAGTATTGTTACAATTCGAAAAAACAACAACAGGGGTTTAGTCGCGTCCTCTAAAGCTCTTACTTCGTACCGTAGTGCGTACAGAGCTTCAAGACTATCGAGGCTGTACTTACAGGGGCTGTATTTATAGGAGTTCCCAATTAAGAATAGAGGGTCAAAATACAAATTTAGAATTTTAACAATACTCAACCGCTCGAGCCGCTGTACCTCTGTAAAGTTCCTCTCTTCTTTTAAAGTCCATGATCACAATGCCCGGAGTAATAAGCGTCGAATACAAAGGCAGAATTGCCATAATCACAATAGACAACCAAAAGCAGCTCAATGCTTTGACTCAAGATGAATATTACCAAATTGCAACATATCTAAGGGAAATCTCTGAGCATGATGAGGTCTTTATTACTGTTTTGACTGGAAAAGGTATATCAAATCCATCTACTTCAACTCAACTGTTTTAACAACGCACAACAGGTCGATTTTTCTCCGCGTAAGCTCAAGGAACACTCTACCTATAATCAAACACTACTAACAGTTACTGTTGCAGAGGAGCAAACGTTTCAGCCATCGGCTCAACACCAGAAAACGAAGATGTCGCCAAATACTGGCTCCGAACTTTCGTATCCAACAACCTCAACATAACCCACGCCTTCTACACACACCCCAAAATCCTAGTCTCCGCCCTCAACGGCCCCGCCATTGGCCTATCGGCCGCCCTCATCGCATTCTCGGACTTCATCTACTGCGTCCCGCACACCTTCCTCCTAACGCCCTTCGCCAGCCTCGGTCTTGTAGCCGAGGGAGGTGCATCCAGGGCCTTTGTCCAGCGTCTAGGAATCTCAAAAGCAAATGAAGCACTGCTTATGAGCAAGAAAATCACCTCTGAAGAATTGCTGCAGGTGGGGTTTGTGAATAGGATTTTTGAGTGTGGGAAAGGCGAGGATGAGAAGTTTTTGGGCTTGGTGTTGCAAGAGGTTAATGATAGACTTGGGGAGCATCTGATTGGGAGTAGTTTGATTGAGATCAAGAAGTTGATTCGGAAACCCGAGAGGGATATGCTTGATAATCAGAATGTGGCGGAGCTCTTTGCGGGACTAGGGAGGTTTAAGTCGGGAATTCCACAGGAGGAGTTCAGGAAGATCGGGAGTGGCGAGAAAAAACATAAGCTGTGAAGAATTTAGTTTTGGTTGGACTGGCATAGGAAAGATATATATTGAGGATGTCAATCGCACCTTTCCTATTGGTAACCAGGCAGCGCTACACGTTCTGACCAGTGCCTATATGAATTTCCTATCAGATATAACACCCCAGTGTTAGTTTCAGTAAAGCAGCTTGCTCATTGGCAACCAGAGCGACCATGGCCTAGAGCAAACCCACGACGCCATTATTCCCCAAACGCCATGCATATGCCTCCATACTACCAGAGACTCTCACTTCTCCGACTCGGTCAACTTCTCTAGCTTCGCTATCCTCCTCTCTTCATCCTTCTTCCAATGGCTCCCCTCCTCATAATCCCTCCCAATTCCCAAGGCACTTCTAAAGCGATCATCCTGCTTAATCTTCGCCTGCGCGAGCTCATGCACCTGATGCATCTTGAGTCCCTTCTTAACCTGTCCACCTCCTCTCTCGCTCTCTTTCGTCAGCTTCCGTCTCAGCGCTTCCGTCTGGGTCTCTATTTCTTCTTCATCGACCCTGTAGATTCATATACTAGCTTAGCTTCTTGGTTCGACTAGAACTGCAAGTGGGGGTTTGAATTAATGGTGGAAACGCAGGAAACATACTCTTCATCTTCCAAACGATCTCGCAACTCAAATACCTTGACTTCAATATCTCGCTTTCGATCGTGCTCTAAGATTTCTTTGTCGGGTTGCCGTTGCCTGTGCTTCATGCTGTCGAAGTCGGTGGAGTAGGGCTTGCCTTGATCGCGGGGTCGGAGGTGTGCGAGGTTGCGTTGAACGTAGCCAGAGGTTCGCTGCCGCGGGGGGTAGAGAGGCCGACATTAGAAGACATGATTGGGCTACCTGAAGATGTGGTGTGGGTTTTGGTATGTTTACTCCCGAACAGGTTGTGGTGTTTTGTAGCTGGGAGCAAGGCGCGCGGGAGGTTGAATTGACAAGGGAAGGCTACGCTAGTCAAAAAATCGAGGGCGGTGAAGTGAATTTAGGATTTCTGCCGATGCGTCACAAATACTGCCCTTACTGTATTGCCCCGCGTCGCAGTGACTCAAACCTCTTCAAAATAGTCATCAAAATAGCCATTATAAGAATTTGTATTTACCTCCTATTACTCCTCACTCCAGCCTTTCTCTTTTGTAAATCCAGCTTCGTGGTTAAGCAAAATGCCAGCTTTAGACGCATCAGAAGCTCCGGGCGAGGAGGCGCCTCTTACACGACTTCCCTTTGAGCCAATATCAAGACCCCACATACTTCACTGTTCCTACGATTACTGGCACCCAAAGTAAGCAATTCCCATCCAATTCAAGTTTAAATCCTTACAATTCTTCCAGATACAGATCCTCAACCCTAAAGTCTCGCATAATTCCCCTCACCCCCTCCTTCCTCACCTACCTCCGCAAGGACGGCATCGTGCTTCCCTCAGAAACCCCCATTCACAACCCATCTACAGATGACAACACTACATCCGATGGCTGGGACGAAGACCCGGATCCGGACCCCTCTCTCGAATTCCCCGAAATCCACCAGCAAATTAAAGACACAATCGCAGAACTTGGGGGGCTTGTAGCACCGAAGCTGAACTGGTCTTCTCCTAAAGATGCGACGTGGATTAGCATGACGAAGAATAGTATGGAGTGCGCTACGCCGAATGATATATATCTCCTGTTGAAGAGCTCGGATTTCATCACGCATGATTTGGAACATGCATTTGACGATTGTGCAGAGAACGATTCCGTCACGGCAGAGGATATAAATTATGTGCTGGTGTTGAGAAAATGGTTCAAAGTCAATCCATCCTGCGAGTTCAGATGTTTTGTCAAGCAGAGAAGGATAATTGGGATATGTCAGCGGGATTTAAATCATTTTGATTTTCTTTTTCCGCTGAACGAACAGTTGCGGGATACGATTCAGAAGTATTTCGACAAGACATTGAAGAGCACCTTCCCGGATGCCAGTTTTGTGTTTGATGTCTACCTACCAGAGCCATACGATAGAGTTCGACTTATGGATATTAACCCCTGGGCTCCTCGAACAGACCCGCTGCTCTTTTCTTGGCTGGAACTCCTCACCATGCCCGTACCAGCGCCGTTAATGGGTGTTCCGGACTCATCTGAGAATCAACCACTACCTCAGTCGAGCAGTGATGAGGATACCCAAGACGAGGATGTGGAAGAGGTCCCGTGGAAGCCGGAGCTTAGGTTGGTGAGGAAAGATGATCCGGAGGCGTATAACTTCTCGAGTCCGCAGTATAGTGCGCATAAGCTGCCGAAGGAGGTCGTGGATGCTGGTATGGGTGAGAGCAGTATGATGGAGTTCGCGGCTCAGTGGAAGAATATGATGAATGGGGATGTGAAGCTGCAGGGTGGGAGTGATAGTGAGGATGAGGACGAGGTGGTGGTAGAGCCATCATAGACGAGTTAAGGCTCGAGAAGAAACTGATGCACATGAGAGTATCCTCTTGTCCCTGTTGTGATTCTGCCTCAGACCAAATCAGAGTGTACATATTTACCAGGTATCTAGCTTCTGCAAGTAGCAGGCTAGACACCTCGAGGGAACCCTGCGTCTCTTCTTTCTGTTCATCATGGGCGTTGCTTCTCTCTCTTTAATTTGTCACAAATTTGCAGTTTTCGTTATGATTCCAAAGTTTATGGCAGTCATAAATGAGAGACCCTTTGATAGTTATTCGGGAACAAGCAGGACCCTTCTTTCCCTTATTAATGACCTCGTCTGCAACCATTCACAAGGGAAGTATTTTGAAGGGTATGATGAAATAGAACGGATCATCAAAAGTTATGAGGGTTTCGGGAAGTTGAACAACTCTCCGCCCGCGACTGCACCACTCTCAGGTAGCAATACAAGTATCGTATAGCCTATTGTGTTTTTACAACGCTTCTCTCTAATATAAATCCAAATGGATGAAAATGGAAGGCTCCGAGCTGCTCCCCTATGTATTCTGTGTGATTAAAGATATAGTGATACTGTTCTTTTCCTCGTTGTCCACGTCATCTAAGTTTGGTTTTAACCCACCACGGAGGGGACGTCTCCGGCGGGGTAGCACCGACTCCAATTGAGCCTCTCGGGCCGTCTTCTTCCATCCTGATGTGCGGCTATTTGAATCTATGTGCAAACACGCAGGCACGAGGTAGTGTACTGATCATTTACAAGAAACATGCTTAATAGAGGATTGATTCATTCCGATGCCCTGTTCTGTGATGCAACGTGTCGCCTGATCATGGCGAACGTTAGTTTTAGCCACCCCTTTTTATGGGATCCTCCCCAGGAATCCAGGTGAAGGAGAAAGAATCTTGAATCGAATCTTGAATCGAATCTTGAGTTTGCGTCTTTCGGCATGTTGTTCAAAAGCCTCGTCATGGCAGCTCTGCTCGCTGCGCAAGCAACTGCTACTATATACTATGCTGGCGTCGCGGAAAGTGGTGGAGAATTTGGTGTTTATAGTAAGTTTTTACACTTTACTCCTATTCTTTTTTTGAATCAAGCTCGCGATTTATTGATATGAATGGGAGCAGGCTCGTCTAAGACTCCTGGGACTGGCTTGCCAGGAACATTTGGAGTGGATTATAAGTTCATCAATGAGAGTGCAATTGACGTATACGTTGACCAAAACAAGGTAAGTGAACTTTGAATAATTGGATTATCGCTTGATTCTTTTGACAAGTGAAAACTAGGTCAATCTGTTCCGCGTAGCATTTCTTCTTGAACGAATGTGCCCCGTCGCCACCGGACTAGGAGCGACATTCAATGAGACTGTAAGAAATCATCATCCTCTTCAAGTGAATTGAGAATTACTAAGTCTCGTGTCCCCAGCACTATGGCTTCTTCGCCGATGCTATCGACTACATCACTACAACAAAGGGAGCATACGCCATCCTCGATCCGCACAACTATATGCGATACAACGACCCATCTCAACAACCAAGCACGGGGAGCATTATTGGAGACACCACGGACTCTACAGCTGCTACGACTGCTCAATTTGCGGAGTTCTGGGGCGAGTTGGCACGACGTTTGAAGGACAATGAGAAAGTGATATTTGGACTTAACAACGAGGTATCTCTCTGAATGCAACTACAGAGAGAGAAAACTAATACTCCAAGCCACACGACATGGACACAAATCTCATCCTTGCCAATGACCAAGCCGCCATCAATGCCATTCGAGCAGCAGGAGCAAACCAGCTGTGCGTCTCCCTCCCAAGATCAAGACAGGAGACACCCAACTAATTCTTCTCAAAAGTATCATAGCCCCCGGTAACGGCTACACGGGCGGACACAGCTGGACACAAGACTATGCCGGCAACTCCCCCGCCTCCAGCGCCGTATTAGGAAACCTAACAGATCCCGCAAACAACACGGCGTTTGACATCCACGAATACCTCGACAGCGATTTCTCCGGCGGCCATGCCAACTGTTCCCAATCCGGGCCCACGAACCTAGCGCCCCTGACCGCCTGGCTCAAGAGCAACAGCTTCAAAGCCATGATTACGGAATTCGGCGGCTCGAATAGCACTGGGTGCGCGGGCTATATTACGGAACTGGCTAACTATATGGCGCAGAATGAGGAGTATATTGGATGGACGGCTTGGGCCGCGGGGCCGTTGTGGGGGACCAATAGTCCGTGCTGTGGGGATGGGAATGCTTGGGGGAGTCTGGAACCCGGGAGCGTGGCCGCGGATGGGAGTCCAGGTTTCTATACGACGGTTTGGGAGAGGGATATTCAACCGCTTGTGCCGAGGGTGTTGCAGTGGAGTGGGGTTTCTAGTGTGCAGGGAGGGGGTTTGACTATGAAGATGTAACGTTGTAACCCTGGTTGACGGGATGCAATACGAGAAAGCAAGGGTAAGGGGGAAGCATCTACTGGGTGCATGCATATCAAAAAGAAAAATTGCAAATACAGTATTTTGGAGGCGTTCGTCTAGTTTGAAGGTGGATACATATCTCTGTAAGCCACTTATCGGAACTGTCTCATGAGAGTATTGAAACATTAATATTACTTAGTAGGTATGTATGTTCATGATATATACAAGTCCATCCTAATTACTGGCAGTAAAGCCCCCTTTTTATATACAAGTCATCATAAGGTCCCACATCATATCGCAAAGCCCAACTTCCTCGCCACGCCCGGGAAGATACTCAGCGCATTTTGATTATTGATCTGCGCCATCTCTGCTGAGGTGAAGTTGCCATTGGCCTGTATGGCTGCGAGTCCGGGTTTCGCTTGAGCCAGTGGTACATATGGATCTGCGGCATGCTGTTAGTAAACCTTCTCCCATCACAAAAGAAAGAGAACCCAATGAACAAACTTACAGTCGGTACCCGTAAGAATCTTACTAGTTCCCCCAAAGAACTCCTTCATAGCCATCAACTGTATCAACGTCGTCGAGCTCGCAGTATCAAAAAAATAGCCCTTAAACTGCGCTAGCGTCGTCGCGACATTCAAACTTCCCAAAAAGCTCAAGCTCGCCATCCCCGCGATCCGCGTCGCCAGGTACGGCATGGCTCCGCCGCCGTGGGGGAAGATCATGTTGATAGATGAATAATTCGCGCGCTGGCCCGTCAAGAGCATGTTCTCCATGGCGCGGACTGACTCGAACGGATACTCGGTCATGGGATCTGGATGACCCAGAGCGGCGCCGCTACACCCGGGTGCTACGGGGTGCACGAAGACGGTTGCGGAGCGCGCGTTGAGGAGATCGAAGATGGGGTCCAGGGCACCGTCGCCGAGATACGTGCCGTTTGCGTTGGTGTACAGGCCGACTCCGTCGAATCTGAGAACGTCGAGGCAGAACTGTTTTTCTTTCTTAGCTGCTGTACTGTTCAAGTAGATAGGACTTGGATGGAAATCAAGAGAAGAGTTCTTACTGCTATTTCCGCCAGCGATGCTTGGATATCTGGGAGTGGCAGGATACACATCGCGCCTAGCCTGGTGGGGTATGCCTGTGTGTAGCTATACATGGCCAAATTGAGTCTCGTCGCGAGAGCAGCAGCTGCGAGACCTTTGCCAGCGAGGAAGTTGACGCCCGGCGCGCTGACGGATATTGTGGAGTAGTTCACGCCCATTGTATCCATTGCTGCGATATGGTCCGTTAAATTCCATACCGAGACTGGGAAGCCATCTGTGAATAATGTCGCCACTCCACCCAGCGTTTTCACGGGATATCCTGCATCAATGAGGGCTTGGCGGTAGAAGTCAGGAACGACGTGAGAGTGCACATCGATTTTAAAAGATGCGTCGACTACTGTGCTTGCTAATGTAGAGGTGGCTGCGAGGAGCCAGACCAACGATGAGGCAAGTAACGAAGGCATGATAACGGCAAAAGAGTAATGCTTGACTGGACACAGAACAGAAGTTTCAATTGCCAACCAGCAGCAGCAGATTCAATTCTTTAATAAGTGAGGAGTTCAGCAAAGCATGTTGATTCAAGGGTGGGAGTATTGGACAAACTATTGAAAAGACGTCGTCGTGTGCGGTAACGAGGCCTCGTCGGACAACGGACTTTTTGTCAATAGTTTATCTACTCCACCAGTCCATAAAGCTACGGAGTATGGAGTGGATATTTTGAAGTGGAGTGGATATGCCCTGAATACTGTATCGATAAGATTGGAAGATATGATACATAGTAGGGATTACGGTCAAACGAGGCTTGGCCCGGTATCCCATCTGCTGGAAACCTAGCAAGTATTCGTAAGTCATCCTACTACAGCCGGGATGTTAAATTGGATGGTGCTTTTGATTGGTCCTATTGGCATTATAATGGTTCTAAGCTAGCCATGTTACCTCGGCTTTGGTTCATCACGTGAATTGTATTCAGATGAACTTACTGACTCGCTTGTGTTTTTGTCGTCTGACAGTTGATCCGACGATTACAGGGCCTCTACTTGTACAGTAGAGGCCCCAACTCAAAAGTCTCACCTTAATCTGGTTCTCTTACGATGGTATAGATCTCAAGATCTATACTAGAGTAAAGAGCCACTTAGGTCCACAGGATTCTGACTATCTGGGCTAAGAAGTGGACTTATAGTGGGACTGTCAAACTTCAAAAATTTTTTGCGAGTAAGGTACATCTCCCCACTCCTACCGGGGAGACACGATTAAGGAGCTCGCTACGAAGACGATCTCGCTCGAAGCTGTAACGGACAATTATGCCATGGAGGAAGGAGACGCCGACGCTAGGTACATAACCTGGAATTTGCAGGCTCAATAACCGGTCTTATCCGTATAATCAGCTTCAGGGAAATTCTCTCTTGGTTTTTCAAGTTGCTTGCTTCATCAAGTATCAATAAAAATGAAATGGTCAAGTTTTCATTCTCACAATACTCGTTTTTCTCTTGGTCCATTATGATACGGTAGTAGAGGCACTTTGGCGCGGAAAGATACCCGAAAAGATACCCGGAAAGATAGACTTCCGCATATACTTCGTCGCATATGGCTAGATTTTGCCCTACCTACCCGGTCCTATCGAAAGAAATATAGCGCGCGTGTCGATTGCTTAGCAATCCGAAAGTGAGACGAGCCAGTATTGTGTGAAAGTGAGCGCTGTGAGTCGCCGGGATGTACGGTAGATATCAGACTGAAAGAAGAGGCGAGTGTTTTGCATGTCTATCGAAATAGTAAACCGCAAATAATCAAGGGAGGAAAACGTGGTGATTTAGAAAATATTCCAGGAATCCTGCATGTTTTTCTATAAAACTTTGGGTCCGAACGCTAGATTCTAGAACACGGAAAGGACGAACATGGGCACCTGCAACGTGGGATGATAAATTGAAAGGGGTAGCGGGTGGAGCAATAAAGGCATGGTCACCCTAGGGAGCAGGGAGCCGGCCTGCCGGACACTATACTGTAAACAACGCCCGTTGCTCGGACCATTAGGGCACAATTTGTGAGCGTTTCTACAGTATTCGTACTCGGGTATGGAGATATCCTTGAAGCGTATCGGACGGACTGGGTTCCCTAGGGTTTAGTTAGTTGATATAGAGTTTTGAAGATTGCGCCAAAGATTCCTAACGCAGGTTTTTGAGGGTTTTTTGACATCAAGCGCGGGTCGCTTGTCGCTTGGGCGTTCCGTTCTTACATACCGAGATACGAGTATAGAGACGGAATATCGAGAATGTACTTCTTCCTTGCAGGATTGTAACTGTTACTGGTAACTGTTACTGTATGCAAGGCACAGATAGATCCACTTTCATCTAGATAGATTTTCAGGAGGCAGCAGATCGATCTTCTGATACATTGAAGATCGGGGTGACTTTGACTCTCTTCGAGTATAATCAACACTAAAATAATTCCGACCTTTCGCGCTCCACCTCTACCCTAGCTCCCATGTGGCAGGTGCAAGTGTGAACGCCATACTTATCACATCGGAGAACAGCTCCTCGGAACATCCCAAGTATGCGGAGCTAGTCAGACAACACGCCATAAATCTCATACTCCATAGTATTGTGTTTGATGACTGCAAATTGAGACCCTGTTTGTAACGGCTAATATAAGATTGATTTATTACTATACTTAGGCAAGCAAAATGGTTCAAGATATAGTAAGGCAGTGTACTCGTAGTATCTGGCTTAAGTATACAATTTATACAAGCCAGGCAAGTAGATATGCAATAAAGTATAGACTATATATGGACTAGGGTCAAGATCATCGCTTTCTAATTCGCCTTACTTTTTCCTATAATGGATGCCTATCAAGATCGACTTCTTATACTTAGGGCCTCTTTCTTATTTAGGGGTTCTAAGAGTCTAAGCTCGCTTGGCAATGGGGATTTTACCCCCGTTTGGTTTTACCTGCATTTAACACTTGCTTTTTAAGGTCGGATATTACGGCGCTTTTACATAAACGGTATGCTAGCTTGCTTGTTTCTCCAACATTGGGCTAGAAGGAAAGAATCCGATTGGCTACGCCGTGGTATAGTTATTGCTTACACCTTGTATTTCGTCGAATTTGAATTAGAATATCCTACGCTCCTTAGTGACGCGGAATAACTCTACTAGGACAGGACCGGGAGTCATTAAGTGGCGTTTTGCTAGGAAAATTGAGCCCAGAGAGAAACGCCACCTGCCTCAATTTTCCTTCAGGATTGTGACAGCTAAAGATACCGCGTCCCACCTACGCACCACGAGCGGCACAGCCGTTATTAGGCGGTTACTGCATAACTATTTTCCTTGCGAACGTGCAGGAGACCTCATGCAGTTCACGGCACGTACACATGTTCAGGTAAACTTAAACTTACTTTAACGATGTCTCGTCCGGGGTCTAAATACTGGAGTATCCTGGGCTTCCATCAAAGCTTCTCCATCCACAATACTTGAAGAAAGTGAACCCCCGCACATTTGCGTGGATGATCTTTCCTGTATGTATACAAAATGCCGAACTCCACGACACCCCATTTTTCGCCAGAGGTATGTAAATTGCATTTCGCATTTGACTCGAAACCTATGCAATTGTTGATGGGAAAGCTGACTCTTGGCAATTGTGTAGTTCCTAGCCCAAGATCGAGGACCAACGATCATAGCTACGAATGCATCGTTCCAAGGGGTGGCGTGTTTGGTGGTAATAGCCAGACTATGTTCGAGGTTTGCAATACTGAAGAACATTGGTCCTGACGACTGGACCATCCTCTTTGCAACTGTTCTGGCAACAGCGAACATCGTGGTTGCCGCCCAGAGTAAGTAGAGTTCCGTCTCGTTTCCAGGAGGGCCTCAGATTGAAAGAAATGAAGGCTGATTAGATGACATCTAGGTGTGAGGCTCGGGACAGGAAGGCATAAGCAGGCGATCCCACTGGAAAATGTCATACCGGCGGGCATCTATCGATTCGTCACGAGAGTGATATACTTTCTGATCACTGGCACCATTAAACTCTCAGTATGCCTCTTGTACCTGCGCATCTTCCCCACCATCCGGAAACATGTCTTGATCCTGATGACGTTCATCATTGCTGCCACTATTGCGCAAGAATTCGCTACCATCTTCCAATGTGTGCCGGTGCAAGGAGTGTGGAATGTCGCGAAGTTTCCGAACGCCCATTGTATCAACAATGTAGCCTTCTCCTATTCAGCATCGGCGTTGAGCGTGGTGACTGATCTGTGGACTTTGATACTGCCGATTCCGACTGTTTGGGGTGGGTACTTCCAGCTTCTTTCAAAATGGTGGTGTATTGATAAAACGTAGCACTTCAAATCATGACAAGGAAAAAAGTGGTTCTTATAGGAATGTTCTCCTTGGGATTGTTGTAGGTTGCCTCCCGAGTTCTCATTCCTTTCCACATATCTGTACTAATCATGCTCCACAGTGCTTGCGTAGCAGGAATCGTTAGAATGGCATTTCTCCTCACTCTCTTGACAAGTAGCGACCAGCCGTGGGATACCTATGGAACATCTATTGCATCAGGAATTGAAGTGGCACTTGCCATTATAACAGCGTCCCTTCCGAGTTTGAAGCCACTGGCTGACCGCATGGCCCCTAAATTATTCCCGAGCACGAGAAATAGAACGACGCACAAAGCGAGTGACTATGAATTGGGGTCAGGGAGACAAGGGACGCACTCGGGCTTCGTTACGATCGGAAGCATGGCGGATAATCATCCAAGGGGACATGGTAGTAGCGATGCAGACTCTACGCAGGCGATCAAGGTAAACCATGAATATTCCGTCAGAGTTGATTCTGCGAATGACTTTCATTGATGTTGGACTACGGAGTACAAAAGCCGCTTTATTTATGACTGTATACTAGCCAAAGTTGTATGAACAGCAATGATATAATGATCCTAATAAAGATGGAACATATGAAAATAGAGAAGTATTTCTCATCACGTCCTGCCCCTGTTCGCTCGGTAAATTCCAATTGGTGTAACGTGAAGGGAATTTGATAGCGCAGTCTACTTTCAAGGCCCCAAGGGTAAATATCGACTAGATTTATACATACAATCTGTTATATTTTATTTTGTAATTACAATGAGCAAAGAAGATCAGTCAAGAAAGATCAGTCTCCAAAGATTTTTCTTTCGCCAGTACTAATGCTATACTCCCACCGCGTAGCAGCCCATTCCGTTAATCGAGATCTAGAGATATTCTCTTGCCGTCCTGTTATCGTAGCGAGAGAAACAGCTTCAGCAATGCTCGGAAGGCTCGGCCCAGCAGTTGCGGCAGATCGTGGGCTGGCGATATTGCGCACCGGACTTCCCTATCGCAACTGGCCACCATTCCCGAGTCTCATGAGTTGTGTTTGATCGAACGCCATGCCGAGCGCCACATTCTCATCTCCTCCGAAAGCGATCGAGTGACTTCGTTTCGGTGCTGGAAGTGGACGGCTGATGATGTTGCTGCTAACTTCACTGAGCGGAAGGGATGTTGCTTTGCGTGACGGCACAGTACTTGTGGAAGTTGGTACGGGTGGTGCCGGGGCTTGGGGCGTTTCCTGAAAAATGTTTGTTTTGGTGTCGTTCATGGGATGGGAAGGGTCCGAGGCCTGCTCACTGGACATGGCGTTGCCATTGTGTTCGGAAAGGTGAGCAATTTCCGTATGTGAAAACGCCAGACCATCACTAACAGCATGATTTCCTGAAGTAATAATAACATTGCCCTCAGGACGAGGTGTCAATGATGAGCGGAATACTGGGGTCCTGGTCCTGATGTCCCATCGTCTGGTGCCGTGGTAAGGTTCACAGGTCTGCCAGATTCGGGAGTCGGAGGACCCGATCTTCGGGGAGTTGCGTGACGATATGATGATCTCGTGCTTTGAGTACTTAGTGAGAAAGTCCAGCCGCTGGAAGTTTCTCATCGAGTAAATATCCAAAATGCTTGTTGCAAGCAAAATCGAGTTGCTGCATCCAGCTAGACAACAGGAATTGAAGATTTGACATATCTTTGCTGACTATGGCAGCAGAGTCAAGCTCTCCGGCTTCACCATACTGGTGCTTCAAAGGATATCGAAGAACGAGTCGATGTCCTGTACGCAAAGGGCTACTTTGTAGAGAAATATCCGAGAACTTCCAATAAGAATGATCCAATTTCGCAATGACATACACTTAAACAAGCTATGAAAGAACAATCGAATTCCGAAGCATCAGAAGGCCGGAACCGTTTCATTTGGCCTCCGTGTGATGGAACTAAGGTCCCGCCTTCATGTTTTAATGGCAGAACAACGTCCACAATTCCAAATAGGGAAGGAGCGCTGCCAGGACTGAACAATAGGGCGACGAGCAAAGCGGTACTTGGTATCAACGAGGAAACGCAGACTTACGCAGGACATGGCTTCACAACACTCCCGGGTTGGTATAATAATTAACTGCACGCCTTTCTCAAAACTTATACACATCTTATCCAGTATTGTGTCCAATACATTCTGTCCAAGTCTTCTCCATGAACGATTGTGAATCCTGGATTTTTCTGCGGATTTTCCCCAAATATTCCGTATAGGCGGCAGGGTATTCTCGCTATTTGTTGGCAATTTGGGAGTTTCACTAGTTATATAACTCCATAACCATCTATAAGACTCGGTTCAGCTGAAACTAATCGGAAGGTAGATTGCAGCATGTCAGTTTAACTCTGAGACAATATGGACTTTAACCACTGCCACACCTAGGTTCCCGAATTCACCCCTTCAAGAGCCCCTCCCCACACATATTGCTCATACTCGAAGACAGTCTCAAATGCTAGTCTCTCATAAAGACCTTCTTTCGCAACCCAATCGATAAAAACACCTTCCACACCTCGTCCCTGCAAGTTCTGGATTGCCTTCGATACCAAAAGCGAAGCCACACCCTGGCCTCTAAACTCTTCTTGAACACCAACGCACCCAATTAATCCGGTCTTCTCCTTGGATTCCATCAATGGCGCGAACGCAAATTGCTTCATGACCACAGCAGAAGGAGAACACATCAACGCCCAACCGATTTGGGTTCCGTCATGGTCGATTGCAACTATGGCCTCGTGGTACTGAATATCAAGATCTCGGAGTCAGTATTACCTGCTATACTACGTTCAGGAATCAAGAGACATTGCTCTCGAAAAATTCGACGTAGGAATTACTGTTTCATTAAAATGACTGACCTGTTCCGCTGCTGCGAGGTCCTTGTATGTTTGAACCCACCCCTAAGAACGAGGTTAGTATGTGGAAGGGTCACATAGAAGACGACGCACGAGATTCTTGAAAATCGCGCTTTGGGTTCGTATGCACTCAGCATAGAGTTCGGGAGTCAAAGGCACAAATGTGAGTTGCTTAGACGGATCGCTTAGCTTTTCTATTTGAGTGATTTTGGGTGGTGGTGTATAAGTAATAATGCCTGTCTCGAAGTCAGTAATGCCGGCATAAGTTGGGACAATACTTCGAAAGCAATCATCTCATGAAACACTCAAAGAGTAAACCACTCTTCACATATCCGAGGTAGGATATATTCTCCGAAAGAATGACTGACCTCGATATAAATCTCGTGCAGTAGAGCCAACATTCTTTTTGAAACCTATAAAGATTAGCTTCTGGTTCCCAGGAAGGATGAAGCTAGAAAAAGGGAGCAAACCTCGATTGATGAAAAAGTCTTTATCTTCTTGAGTAACATTAACAGGAACACCGGGCCAAAACCTCGGAAACACAGACCCGAGACCAAACGATTTTAAGCCGCCAGAAGTAGAAGATTCCAATATCAGCCGCTGGTGAGCCGCTGTAAGAAGAGCCGTACCGATCCCTTTCCCTCGGAATTTCGGAAGTACTCCCATCGCAGCTATCGTCCCTTGGTTTCCATCCGTGAGGAATGAAAGACAAAAGCCTTTGGAGTGGATGTAATGGAATCCGTTCGTTCTGAGAAGAATGTTTCTGAAGAGTTCGCGCTCAATAGGCCATGATGGGAAAATATCTTGCCAGAGAGAGTATATCTTATCGCTATCCAGCCCATCCACTTCTTTAGTAGAGGTGAGGTGCACAAGCCGGACTGACGGGTTGGAGTTAGGTCCAACGGGAAGAGAACCATAGGGTGTAGTGATCCCAAATATTACATTGACGGCCGATTGGAAAGCAGGAATGGTCGGTTCGTAAATTGCGATGTAGTTTTGTATCTCTTCAACCTCATCAAGAAAATCATATGGCTCGCAGGTAGCAATGACAATCAACTTCTTTCCGAACTTCTTCCCCAGCGCTAACCCTAAAGACTTTTGAGCTGGGGTGAGCCACGCATTCCGGGTAGCGAGGATTGCAATGTCTGCATCATCGAGCTGATTCTCTACCTCGGAAATCGAAGTCCCCTCATGAAATTGTACGTTTTTGATAGATTGGTTCTGGGCTTGAAGGATATTGATATACTCAACCGGTGGATATGGAGTTCTCGTTTTCTCTTCTCCGCTCTCAACTGCTCCACTACCCGCAGCAGCTTTCCTAGGGTTCACAAATACGATCTTAGTCGCGCCATTTCGGGGTAGCGGGAGTATGTCTGCTGAACATCGTACGACTGTCGTACTCTTTGCGTATATATCACGCGCGAGAAGTTCGCGTCTGCGGTTTGACAAATTGTTCTGCAGTTCGAACCTGCTCAGAGTGGAATTGGGCAGTGGCAGTCTGTTGGAGGGTACAAACTTCGATTTGAGATCATGGACTCTGTTTACGGATCTCTCAATAGCTGTCCAGGACAGAGCTTTTGTTTTGATGGCTTTCGCAACGGACTCGATAGCTCCAACCTGCGCAGACATTGTATGGCATATCATCACGCAATCGGTTCCAGCCTACGAAGTAGCATCTATCAGCATGTTATCCATCGGTTTCTTTTGGACAGTGAGATGTTACCTTTAGAGCCATAACGGCTGCCTGTTCTGTTCCGTAGGGACCCCTCACTCCTTCCATTTCCAAGCAGTCGCTAACAATCAGGCCCTTAAAGGCTAATTCTTTCCGCAGTATATTGATTGCGAGCGGATTGAGGCTAGCAGGAAGATGTTTGTATTCATAATCCTCTGCAGTTGCAGCTAATTCCCCAATCCCCTTCATTCTGATGTGCGCAGTCATCACCGCTCCAGCTCCTTCAACCACGGCTCTTCTGAAAGGGACCAGCTCACATGCGTTCATTTGGGCCATTGATTTGGAAATCACCGGTAAATCGTAGTGTGAGTCAACGGACGTGTCGCCATGCCCCGGGAAATGCTTTATACAAGAGGCAACCCCACCTTCTGTGAAGCCGTGGACTTGCTCCGAGACGTACTTCCCTACAATCTCAGGGTTATCGGAAGGAGATCGTACTCCGATGACAGGATTCTTTGGTTCCGAATTGATATCAGCAATGGGAGCGTAGTTCATATTGATACCAAAGCTCTTTAGCATTTCGGCCGTCGCGTAAGCAATCTCGTATGCATTGGAGGCATCTTTGGTAGCTCCAAGAGCCATTGGCCCAGGAAATTGAGCTGCAATAGGAGCTTTTATACGGGTAACAAGTCCATTTTCTTGATCGATAGCAATAAACAGGTCTCTAGAGTACCCGGCCTCTCTTGCGATTTTCTGAAGAGATCTCGTGAGTTCTAAAAGCTGAGAAGCGCTTTCAACATTCCGTTGGAAGAGAACCACTGCCCCAACTTTGTAACTGTATGGAGTCAATATCACAGTTCGGAGATATTTGTAATATTTCACGCATCTGGAAATATTCAAAGGGGCATTTAATGTTACTCTTGGATAAGCTTGATAATATCCTTGCTAGGAACCAGGCCATGAAATCCGACGATAAAGAGCTGCTCAACGTCAGAGAAAGAAGCAAAAAGTGCTATGGTCCCAAGATCTCCAGACATGTATGAGTATAGTCCAAGAATAAAGTCCCACGCTCGCACAAACATGCAAATTGCGCTCGACTCGGATCGAACGTGAAGGAGATCTTGAAATAATAGTAATTCATACCTGTCCAACTTGATCCCGGATCTGCGAGTCCGTATAAGACAGAGATTCGAGATGCTTAAGATCCGCCATTATTGGTAAGTGAGTCCCGATGGACTCCTTGCCGTTTGACAAGCTCGCACTTAATAGCTTTTGGCGAACAGTGCCAATATTGATGAATTTGTGGAGGTGTCGGCCTCTCCAGATTTGAGATCCGGACTTGCGATCTAAGGACACCGTCAATACACTTTTTGTTTCTGGTGGTTACTTTGCCAATATGGGAGGTGAAAAGCATTAGACGGTTAAGCAAGGGGATGAAAGTAAGCTTGTTGTCACGTGATTGACCTCGTTTACCCCACCTCTTCGTATTTTCTCTATCTACTCTATCTCCTTAGCAAAGGGCTAAGGAATTGGACCATGCAACGTAGTATCAGGATCAGCTTCAATTGCCCCATTCTTGCGCCCTTGTTAAGATAAGAACGTGGCGTTGGATTATGGAGATCGACGTTTCGCTTCCGAGGTTCTTATATTAACGACAACGAGGCCATTCTCGTGACTCCTGGCTCTCCTGAGGCATCTACACGAGTGACTATTTGCACTATTTAGCCGCCAACGAGATTCTGCAACATGGATGATTTCGAAGGAGAGAGCAGTCAAAACGATATCTTTTCGAATCATGTGACAGCTGCGACTTCAGATGTTGAAGATACCAAGGCAAAGCAGATCAAGGAGAACCTCCAAAAATACGAACAATTGTTCGGCGCAGATGAGGATGCTTTTGATCAGCCGACTACCACGAAGAAGGAATTGTGGTCCTATTATCTATACTACAATGTAAGTACGGAAGTCCCGAAAATGCGAGCCATTTACTGATCAGTCACAACAGGGAGACAACGGCGTTGGTCCAGGATCATATTCCCAAGCGCTCTTCCAGTCAGCGCTGAGTGGAGATGGCTGGGATCCAGCCATAAGCCCAATTGCAAAGGGCAACTGTACCACTGGTGGTTGTGTCGTGGCGTGGGGCTCAGGAACTAAGTCTGTAGCCAGTGTCGTGCTTATTGCTAACGGCATCTGCTTCGCCGTCATGACAGTCATGTTTGTTTCCCTCGGATCAGCAGCAGATTACGGCAATTTTGGACGTTGGTTGCTCCTCGTCCTCACTGTCATCTGTTGGGTATTCCAGTACTGTATGATGTCCATCAGACACGCGTACCAATGGCCTGCAGGCATGGTTTTGTACATCATATCTTATATCGCATATGTAGGTTTCATAGAAGAATATATGACCAAAGTTATTGACGCCTACAGGGGGCGACTTTGGTATTCTATGCGGCGTTGTTTCCACGACTTTCGCGGTTTATGCCGCACGTGAGAAAAGCGAGGGAGGAAGACTTGAAGGACGGGAAAATCAGCCAGGCAGAGTATGACAAGATCGAAAGTCTAGAGCGAAATCATATCTCCAGTGTCTCTACAGCACACTCAAACATCGGATATCTCCTGACTCTAGTCATCAACCTCTCGGTCCTTCTACCACTGGAGGGCAATTCTTTCGGAAACAATCTGGCCTTATGTTTGACCAATACATGTAGGTTCACAGAAGCGCACAAGTGAGCATTGCTGATTAGTTCAGACTGGGTGGTCCTTGGAATCTGGTGGTTCATCTTTCAGCAACCTCGACCCGGCCCAAAGATGCCGCAGGGGAGCAGCTACATGACAATTGGGTGGAAGCAAGTGGCACTTGCTCTTCGAGAAGTCAGGCACCTACCGCAAACCTTCATATACCTTGTGGCCTTTTTTCTCCTCGCTGATGGCTTGAACACAAGTGGATCTTTAATCTCAATTATTCAGAACGAGATTGTCTCATTTTCGTTCTTGCAAATCACGTATCTCGGCATCGCACAAGCTGCTTGCTCCATTACATCCACGTTTGGATTCTGGTATATCCAAAAGTATTTCAACATCAGGACCAAGCCAATGTTCATGATTACCAACTTCTTCTCTGTATTTATCCCATTCTACGGGATGCTGGGTCTATGGACAGACACTGTTGGGTATCATCACGTGAGGGATTTCTGGTAGGCTTATTCTCATATTTTTTCTTTCTATGAGAGCTGTTTCAGGAGTCTATATGCTGGCTCCCGAGACAGTTTCTAAGCTCCTTGGCTCTCTCCAAGCACTTGACTTTTCACATGCTAATTCGTCGTGGCAGGATCTACAATGTTCTGTTCGGACTGTTCCAAGCGCCATATTACGCATACGCGCAGACCATGATGTCTGAGGTTACTCCTAGGGGATACGAAAACATGTTCTTCGGATTGTTCGGAATAACCAACCGCGCCGTAAGCCATAGGCTTTGTCTCTCGATTGAACCCTTGCTAACTCACAACAGTCCAGCATCATAGGACCAAATGTAGTCCAAGCAATCATAAATTCCACAAACAACAACTGGATGGGTTTCCCATTTCTTTTTTCTCTCTGTTTCGCTGCCAGTGTCGTCATCTGGTTCGTGGACATTGAAAAGGGGAGAGAAAATTGCAGGAAATATGTCGAGGAGCGGAAACTTATAAGAGTAGCGAAAGAGAGCGGGCTTACCACTGACGAAGTGATCGATGGTGTAACAACCGGAGAACTCGTTCCTGAAGCTACTTCGAGTGGGAGTGGGAGCGTTGAGGCTGTGAGTGTGCAGCCATGTAAAAAGGGTCATGTGGATTGAAACTCGCTTCCGAAACTTCTCGCATTCAGTTTAACAAGAATCAAGCCTTTTCCCGGTGATATATGTTTCTCCGAAACTCACCTAAGACGTCCTTTGAAAGTTAGGGAGAGTCTCAAGAATGACCCCCACTTTTGTTACTGATGACTCATCCCGTTCTAAGTGTGTGGTTAGTTCTTTCATGCCTAAAGTCCATATACCATATCGTCTTGGACGTTACAAAAGCTCACTCATTCGGCACTTCACTAGCTTCTTAACCTAAATTCAAGAGGAATTTGTCCATATACTTAATACCCACACTTCTTTACAAGCCTTCGCGAAACATCCAGAATGAACCAACATCACCTGAAAGATCACCTGAAAGATAGTCCGGACTCCAAAACTCTTACGGCTCACAGCATATTCGCCAAAGCACGTGAAGAGCTAATAGCAAAAGAGAAATCTCTCCGCAGCGGTCCGTCCCTTCTTCTTCCCCGCCCCCTCTTTCTCTAACAAAACATCCCAGACCACAAGTTCCGCTCCAGTCTTTCCCCAACAGCTCAAAAAGCCTGCACAATCGTCTCAAAGATCAGAGCCGAGGAACGAAAGACAATATGGTCCACCGCCTATTCTCCAGATCTCCAAAAAACGGAGATCTTTCCAGGAATGATGTTCAACATCGCCAAAGAATACATGGAAGCCACTAAACTCTGGAAAATCGTGCTCAAGATGCCGAAAGGAGCTCTGCTGCATTGCCATCTCGGAGCCATGGTGGATTTGGATTGGGTGTTCAATGCTGCGTTGAGCGAGAAGGGGATGTGTATCAGTGCCACGGAACCACTTTCCAGTCCAGACGTGAGGGAAACGACAGGAATCAAATTCGCATTCTCGAAATCCCCCAACGAAAGCACCGGCAGTATTTGGAGCGAACAGTATGAGCCGAATACGCTTGTGCCTGTTACTCTGGCAGCGGATTCCTATCCAGATGGAGGAAGAGAAGGCTGGGTGAAGTGGATGAAAGACCGCTCTTCGGTCACTCAGGCCGAGTCCCTGGACCACCATCTCGGCATCGACGACGTGTGGCGGAAACTCAATGCAGCGTTTGCTATTGTACCTGGTATCGTGTACTACGAGCCTATCATGCGCAAGTTTTTACGGGAGTTCTTCCGCACGCTGCTCAAGGACGGTGTTTTCTGGGTGGAGTTTCGTACCGCGCCTTTTACGCGGTTTGTGCTTGAGGGGCAAGAGGAAGCTTGTGGTGATGCGAGCGGTGTGATGAGGGCTATTGCGGAGGAGGTTGAGGGATTCAAGAACAGTGAGGAAGGGAAGGGATTTTGGGGGGTGAGAGTCATATGGGTGGGGGATGAGACATTGGGATGCGGATGCCGTTGTGAAAGGCAAGTTGACCAGAACTCGAATTTGTGATCTGAAGCCGCACTAACATTTTGGTAGATATGAGAGAATGTATCCGTTTGAAAAAGGTGTATCCAGATCTCATCTCGGGCTACGACCTTGTCGGACACGAAGACTCGGGCCGCACTCTGCGTTCACTCACCCCTGAGCTCCTTTGGTTTCAATCGGAGTGCCAGGAGCAACAGGTTAACATTCCTTTCTTTTTTCAGTAAGTCAATCCGGACACACATCATTTCCTGCCTGCCATGTTTCGGGAGCCGTCAAATATCTTCCCGAGACATTATTTTATCATACCGAAACGCCCCAAAGAAATGTAGACTAACACCCATTGCTCACAGCGCAGGCGAATGTGTCGGCGACGGCGATGAGACAGACGAAAACCTATTCGATGCCATGTAAGTTGATTGGCGAGCAGATCCTTTCCAGTCCGACACAGTTCAAAACACGCCTCAATACTGGCCAAGGAACCCTGATTATTCTCCCCTTTCACCCTCTAAACTGCAAACACTAACTCCAACCCTCACAGCCTCTTCGGTACCCGCCGTATCGGCCACGCATTCTCCCTTTACAAGCACCCGACCCTCATCGACATGGTGAAAGAAAAATCCATTCTCGTAGAAAGCTGTCCTATCTCCAACGAAGTCCTCCGCTACACTGCAAGTATCATGAGCCATCCCCTCCCAGCGCTACTAGCGAGAGGCGTGCCTGCTGCGCTGGCAAATGACGATCCGGCGCTGTTGGGGCAGGGGACGAGTGGCATGACACATGATTTCTGGCAGGCGTTGCAGGGGTGGGAGAATCTGGGGTTGGAGGGACTGGTGAGTTTCTTTGCTTTTCTGATTTGGTTTGCTTGTTGAGGGTGTGGTAGGGTCGTGCTAATGTTGGAAATAGGGATCGCTGGCGCAGAACAGCGTGCGCTGGTCGGCTTTTGAGGATGAGGGGAGCGAGGAGTGGGAGGTTAATACACGAGAAGGGGAGAATGGAAATGGAGTGAGAGCAGGGAGAATCAAGGCGTGGAATGCGGAGTGGGAGACGTTCTGTGAGTGGATCATCGCGGAGTTTGGGAATGATGCTTAAGTGGGTTGATGGGAGGAGTAATAGGTGTCTCTTCCGGATAAAATTACATGTGCCTTTATTCAACACCAGCTTGATATGCAGTAAGTAACTTATATAAGCTTTCAACATAATCAATAGCCCAAAATATATCATATCATAATCATCCAATAACTACAAGTGCACTCGCTCAATTAATTGATCACATACCCACCATCGACAACCTACCCCTTTAATTAGCGAACCCACAATTGCTTTTCGCTCGCTGATCAAGTGGCCAATCAACTCACCAAAGCATGTCCTTGTACAAAGCTCGCCTTACTACTACACAGAAACAAACAAGCATCCGCGATCTCTTGCGCAGTGCCCAACCGCTGCATCGGCGCTATATCAATGGCAGGTTCAAGAGCTTTCCGAAACTCGGCATCGCCTTGTGTCATCGGCGTGCTACTCCGTACATTGCTCATCAGTTCGTGAACCGTCTTCATGAATGTGGATGAGAAGGGAATACGCACGCAATGATACCGGGACATACACAATTGACTCTGATGTTATGTTTCGAATACTGCTTTTCGTCAGTCTAGAGGCTTTTTTTTTAAACCTTTTGTCAAGTAATGAATGGGATGGGGAAGAACAGACATCGATAGCATCGCACCTCGTCATCCCTATGACTGCAGCTTTAGAAGCACAATACGCAGCTATACAGTACCTCTTCATCAGCCCCCGGCCACCGCTTCCTTCTTCTCTTCCCAAGCAGGAAACACAAAAAGAAACTCACGAGCATTCGGCCGCCCCACCACACCCAACTGACTCGCAATATTAACCACACTTCCCCTCTCCCCAGGCCTCCCATCATGACTCGGCAACACCTCCTGGCGCAGCATCTGCGCCAGTTCAGCGCGAGACGAGAGCCAGCACCCGCGGTAGTTGATATTGGTGACTAAATCGAATTGGGCGGTCGAGGTAGATGTGGAGGGCGCGTTGTTACCGATGATTCCTGTTTGTATGTATCAGTCGCTCTGCTGCTAATTGTGACCCCCCCTTTTCACACGTGTTATCGTGATGGATTCGTCTGTATATAAATATCACACATTATAACACAGCACAACGCAATGAGGAAGAACAAATAGACAAACCAGCAGCATTAACAGCATAATCAACCCTCCCCCACCTCGACACCGTCTCTCTCACCATCCTCTCAATATCATCTTCCTTCAACATATCAACTTCAAGTACCTCCACCTCGACATCCCCATCCATACCCTTCTTTCCATCAAAAATAAACGCCCTCGTCGCTTCCAAACCAGGTAAATCCCGATCACAGATAGCGATTCTACGACAGCCGTCCACGGCGAACGCGATAGCTGTCGCGCGACCGATTCCTAGAGGAATGTTAACCCAGTCCGTACTTATATGTACTGTATTCAAATAGGAAATTGGGCTGAGTTGAAGGTGGGGCAGGAAGGGCTTGTTGCTATTAGTAGAGTACTGTCTGTACCTGATGCGGCACCTGTGACCAGCGCAACGCCTGGGAATAAAGTCATCCTTGCAACACAATACAATACAAATGTAGTTTTACGGAGTAGACCGAACAGATATAGACGAGAAGCTTAAAATAAAGGCACCTTGAGGCTTGAATCATAAACATCACCTACCTATCTACCTTACTCCTACCCCTCCAAACCCCCACTCCGTGGGCCGTGATACATACTTAGTGCGGAATCGGAGATCCGATCCATCAGTACAGCACTGGTCGTAAAAAAAGACAGGTGACGAAGAGGTAGACCCAACCAATACACTAGCAAACGGATTCCGAGTAATCTTAGGATTAAGCTGCTGTGTCGCCGTCGGAATTCACAGCCATGATCTATCATACGCATTTTATACCCAGGAGTGTGGGGTAACTCATTCAAGCATACATTCGGGGCTGCAATTCTGCCCTTTTAGAGCATGTCCTCGAGGTAGAATGCTACGCCCCTTTTTGCGTTCTGGGAAAATCCGTGTCTTGCTTGCTAGATGGTGTTTTTCAAATTGAGAAATATGTGCAGAACGAAAAGAAAGTCCCGTGGTGTTTCCTGCTCTGCGGTAAGTAAGAGCCAGCCCCGTAAGCGCTATCTTAGTTCTGCCGAGGACTCTGAGAACGATAAAGAAATTGGAGTGAGATAACAGTAGTTTCTCGTAAGCTTATAGTACCTAGTGACATCCAAAGAAAAAAAGCCTAAAAATCATCATCATCCGAATCTGAGATATGCCCAGGTTGAATCATTCTCCTCACTGGTGGCCCCCCAATCGCGGCCCTTGAACTCCCTCCGCCTCCTCCGCCTACTCCCAATCCCCGCCGCTGCATCCCCTCATAAACATCCATAACCACATAGCCCGCCTTTGATTTCTCCTGAAGATTTCTCCTCTTCTCCTCCAACACCCTCAACCTCTGCTCATTCGTTTGAGCCTGCAGCCGTACTTGAATGTCCGCCAAGCCCTGCTGCTTTCGCAACTGCCCATCGATCGCCACCCGCCTCTTCCTCTGGTCTAGCTCTATCAAGTTCTCTTGATACTTGATCTCGTCTTCCCGTGTGCGGTTTTGGGCAGCAAGTTCAGCCGCATGGTCCTCATCTGCAAGCGCGCGGTCAAACTCGGCTTTCCTAGAGCGTCGAGTGTACTCGGCCAGTGCTTCGGCTTTTTCCTCTGCGATCTTGGCGCGCTTTTCCTCTTCGATTTGAGCGAGGCGGGCCTGTTTCTCGGCTTCTTTGCGCAGTGACTCGGCCAGGGCGACTTTCCGGGCGTTATCGGCGGCCGTCTGGAGTGCGTCAGTTGCATGCTCGAGGCAGGACTGGATTTATGGACTTACGATCTCTGGGGGTGCGTGAAGCATATCCTCGGGCTGATCACCTTGGTTCTTCCAGAATCGTCGCTTCACTTGAAAGCTCTTCAGTAGGTTCAGAACACTTCTTACCTGCGCCGGGTCGCCGGCCCATACCCCTTTCTCCACATACATGGCAGGTGAGTAAGTGTACACTCCATCATTATAGAGGTTGAAATCTTCATTCACAAATTTCCACTGATCAGCGTCCAAGAGTGCCTTGGTCATTACCAACGGGTTCTCGCTATCAAGGGCCAGGAGAAGTAAAGATTTCTCACTGTCATCGACAGTCTTGGTCTGTATGTTTGTCCGCGCTCCCTCTTTGGCCATTAACTTGATAGCTTTCTTTGCATCCCGCTCCAGATTCTTGTCACTTTTTTGATTGGCATATACAGGAGCGTGATATACAAGCTCCGCCAGAGCAGTGCGGCCTTCATGTTCTGGTGATGGTCGATTGGGATCGTGATCGTGCTCGAGAAGGAGCTCGATCACCTGGACATCAAGTCGACGGGCTGCATCGTGAAGAGTTCCATCATCAGGTTCGCATTCGGCTTTCAAAAGTGCCTTCATTGTTGATAGGTTGCCGTTTTGATATGCTAGCAGTAATGGGGTTTCGTTTTTGGCATTCGCCCAATCCACATCAGCTCCAGCCTCGATAAGGAGTTGTACTACGCTAGCATACCCTTTTTTGATGGCTTTGTGAAGTAGAGGCGTTGGATGTCCTTCGACAGAAGCTAAAGAATTACGTTAGCAATTGTCAAGATGCTACTCCTGCGTTGGGCCTCCAAGTTTTGACTTCTGCAGATGATAATCTGAGCCAGTAGCATATCTCACGTAGTGTGAGATAATGTTTGGTCCAATTTATAAAGCATAGAAGCAACATTGAATGCATGAGAGAACGTACCTCCACGCTTAAGAAGCATATATACCACAGGTTCTGTAACAATTCTCTCGTGCTCCCAAAGAGCCCAGTACAATGGAGTGATCTCAGTGTTCCCTATATCTGGCAAGTAATGCCACATCTTATGATCAACAGCGAAACCTGCGTCTAGAACTTCTTCAAGCACTTGAGAACTTTCAGGGTAATTGTAAATGCTCATGAAAACCGGAGGATCAAAAATTATGGGATGCACAGCACTGCCAAGCTGTTCTCCCGCGTGTTCTCGGAAAAGCCTGATCAGTGACAGCATTATGGCTTCATCAGCCCGGGGTTGGACTTTGAAGATGTATGGGAATGCCATACCGAGCGATTGAGGCGTCGCCCCTTTTGCAATCATAATGGAAAGGAAGTCTAAGTCAGCGATCTCGGCAGCGATCTGCAACGGACGTCCTTGCTTATAGTTGACATCCACGTCATGATTAAGCAGAATGCCGGCAAAGCTGTGCGCGAGAGGGTTTTTGTCGCTTTCGGAGAGGGCTAGGAGGAGCGCTTTTTGCACATCTTCTCCTTTTGCTCCATGTTCCAGTAGGATTTCCATGGTTTTCATCATCTCCTCGGTCAACGTGCTCCAGCTCTCTTCAAGTCGGGCCCTGAATACAAACGAGAGTGCTGAGGCGTCAGTGAGATATTCCAAGAGTAAAAGCAAGACGTTGTGGTGACACAGTTGTGTTGCGGCATCTAAAGCACCGTGGTCATCGTGATGTACGGACGCTCCCAAAGTAAGTAGTTCTCGCATACTGTCTATGTCCTTTGATCCGCTTTGAACTAGGTCAAGTAACCCAATATCGACTTGAGGTCCTGCCTGCAGGCCCGCACCTACAAGCAGTTGTATCATGACCAAGCGTGGCTGATCAGGAGATTGGAGTGCCGATACGAATGCTCGGGAAAGGGTCTCGGGTGTTGCTTTTCGCTCATGAAGCATGGCTTGCATAAGGATAACGTTACCGGACGCTGCTGCCTCGTTCAAAGCCTCCCCATCATACTTGTTCATATCGGCACCATGATTTAGAAGCAATTCACAGATGGTAAATCCTCTATCCCCGCGTTGGGCCTGCACTACGAGAGCAGAGTGCACAGCTTCCCCATGAAGGCCTGCTTTGAGGAACAGTTCGACGATTTCGTATTGGTCATGGCCTACGGCCTGGAAAGCCAATTCAAGAGACTCATTGAGAATCCCTTGCCTTTGAAACATCATTTGTAGTAGAGGGACAGCGCCGAGCCTTGCAGCATTAGCCAACGCCTCACCATTATTGGCATCGATAGATGCACCGTGTGCGACTAATAATGTGCAAACCGCTAGAGCATCATTTCCTTGTCTCGATTGCTCAATAAGAGTAATGTCTAGAGGAAAACCTTTGAGGCCCGCATCAAGAAAGCATTTGACCAAGTCAATGTTTCCCCTATCAGCCGATTTAAATGCCCGTGTCAGGGTGGCGTTAGATACTGGCCTTTCCCTGAGCAATACCTGCAAGAGCACAAGAGCATTGAGTTTAACCGCAGTGGTCAACGCCTCGCCATGATTTGCATCAACAGACGCGGCGTGTCTGAGCAGCAGTTTACAAACTTCTATGGCTTTGTTCCCTCTTTTGGACTGTTCGGCAAGGGCGGTATCAAGAGGCTGTCCAGTCACGCCGAAGTCTAAAAATATTGTTACGAGATCAAGATTTTCGTGATTGGCCGACTTGAATGCTCTTATAAGCGTACTTTTTAAGACCACACTGTTCTTGAGCATGGCCTGCAATAGAGGAAGAGCCTCCAGCTTGGCCACAATTGTCAAGGCCTCTCCATTGTATTCATTGGCCGATGCTCCGTGTGCTAGTAGCAAGCTACACACAGCCAGACCTTCATTACCTCGTCGAGATTGTTCGACCAAAGTAGTATGCAGTGGCTCCCCTTTCAAACCTGCACCAAGAAAGATTTTGATAAGATCGAGATTTTGGTGATTAGCTGACATGAATGCCAACGTGAGGGAATGATCCGAAACCTTCCGTTGAATCATTGCGCGAAGAAGAGGCAGGGCAGCGAGCCTGGCTGCCGTCGTTAAAGCTTCCCCATTGTATTCGTCCGTCGACGCGCCATGTTCTAATAACAAGACACAGATAGGTAGACCGTCATTTCCGCGTTTGGCTTGTGTTGCCAATGCAGAATGAAGAGACTCTCCGCTAAGACCAGCATCGAGGAAGATTTTGACGAGCTCAATTTGGTTATGGTCTGCACATTTGAAGGCCCTGTCAAGTGATATTAGTATGGACTCAATTCATTACAGTGCGGAGATGTATAGAATAGATAGTCCCAAAGGGACATTTCGAGCAATAACGATGTGACTGACCTAAAAAGAGAGCTATGAGCAGCTTTTCGGCCCTGGAGCATAGTCTGCAACAGTGAAATTGCCCCAAGCTTAGCTGCAATAATTAGTGGTGCCCCATTCTGTGCATCAATCGAGGCTCCATACTTCAACAACATCAAACAGAGCGTAACGTTCATATCGCCTCCTTTGGCCTGAGTAATCAATGCAGCGTGAAGAGTATCTCCCTTCACACCAGCATTCAAGAGGATTTGAACCATCCCAAGCCGGCATGTCTCGTCAGTGACGCTGAACGCGGCATTGAAGGCAGCTTCCAGACTATTCTTTGACGGCTTAGGGTTGGTACTTTCCACTAAAAGCGTAAGTATTTCAATATTCTGAGCATGGACAGCGGTAATAAGACATATTCCTCCATCATAGTTTAAATTGGCTTTGTGCT